TTTCTTGTGAATTTTTGTTTTTACAATTTTCATTCGTTGTCGTAAATTTTAATGCCAAAAATACGAAAAAAAAATCGTTTGTGTTGATTTATAAGGATACAGGGTGGAACAAATTGTATATGTCATAATTTTTTCAATACTGTTCACATACAGGATTTCCATATGATTGCCTTACTTTTGTTAAAATATCGAATGAAATTTTGTTCTTTTAATTCCTGTATATACCAATAAAAGCCCATTTTAAAAGACGTAGTTGTGATTTTAAATTCAAAGAAAGTCGGATAAAACTACTTGGTTCTTTACTATTTAGTCTTGTCCGAACTTATATAGTCCATGCTGTATTATATTACCATACAAACAAAATATAATATTAATAGAAGTTATATTTTATAATTCTACCAATTTTTTTCATTATTATATATTTTTTTTTTAACTTGGAGGTTAGTTTTTTCTGTTACATTTTTCAAAACACCCTGTACATATTTTGTTTTTATTTCAAATGAAAATAAATATATTCGATGCATGCAAAGTTATTTAACGTTTTGCATTGCATTTCAATTCTTATCATGATCGTCACGTACCAAAGTGTGATAATCATGGCTATTTAATGACGTCGATATCGAGGCTTTAATGGGATTTTCCACTGGTCGTTGGCACATATTTTCGATATTTTATACCCTCCACCATAGTATGGAGGGCATATTAAGTTTGTCATTTCGTTTGTAACACCTCGAAATGTACATTTTAGAACCCACAAAACATATAGGTCCACGTCTTCGTACAGTCCCCATATAATGGTACCTCCCGATATTCGGTATTTTGATGATTTTAGAGACATTATTTACCGGAACTATTTCAAATTTGGTATTTGAAGTTCGCAATGAATACTAAAGCTTATGAAAGAAAATTGTCTGTGCAGGACTACGTCTTCGTATAGCCCCATATAACGGTACCCCCCGGTATTTCGGTATTTGGATTTTAGCGACATAAAATACCGGAATTGTTTCATTTGCATTTGAAGTTCGTAATGGATACTACAGCCGATGAAAGAAAATTGTCTGTGCAGGATTTTATTATTATTTGTCGGATTTTATTATAATTTTTTTTTTTTGGAAAATTGCCAAATTTGTTCCATATGGTGGAGGGTATTCAAAGTTCGGCCCGACCGAACTTACAGCTTTTATACTTGTTTTTTTTTTTGAAAATAAGTTAAAAGAAATTCATATAAAGGAGATTAGGATAATATATGATGGCGTTCTGTACAATAATTCCGAAGAAACTGCTAAAGGCATAAATATTATGACGAGCGATGTAGATCAAAGACAGAGAATGTATGACGCTTGAATTATCCTCTTAGTTTAATAACATAATTTACTACAACATGCTCGTATATGTTCATACGAGTACAACATAATTGAATACATTAGTCTTACTTTAAAATAATATATTTATTTGTTATTGAGTTAAATAAGTAGAACAATGTAATGTATAATATACATACATATACAGACACACATATATTTGTATGACCATTATATGCGAGGTCCGTTTTCATTTACATATTTTGTAAGCAAAGTATTTTATGTGAATCACTGCAGGTATACCCAGCAATAACTCCAACTACTAAATAATGAGTTTGCTAACCGATTTTTGACAGCCAATCAATCACAAATCAATATGTAACCACTATCTTTACAAGGATTATTATTTGACTGTGACTTAAAACGGCCAATTAGGTAGAACAAATAATAATTTTATAATTTATTTTTACTATTCTACTTTGACCGCATCTGGAAATGAACACGCAATCTTATGATAAGTAGATTAACACACTACTCAATGTACCACTGTTTCGAGAATGTAGCACTGTCCCCTTGTAGTCTTTATTTTCAGCCTACTGAAAATGATAATTTTTTATATTACCTTGTAATAGACTATTCAAACAGCTTTAAAGATTTTCCTAGGTGGCCAGATGTTGGAAAATCATGGCTGTAAGTTCGGCCAGGCAGAACTTTGAATAACTTCCACCATTTGTAACGAATTTGGCAATTCTCAAAAACAATAAAATCCGCTAAATTCTTAGAAATACCGAATCAAGCCATTATATTAGGGTCAATACGACGACATGTACCTGCATAGGTAATTTTTTTCATAAGCCATTACAATATTTAAATGCCAAGCTTAGAAAAAAAATCGGTGAATAATGTAGCTACAGTCATCAAAATACCGATTATCGGGAGGTACCGTTATATGGGGGCTATACGAAGACGTGGACCTGCACAAACAATTTTCTGTCTTAGGATTTAGTATTCATTGCGAACTTCAAATACCAAATTTCAAACAATTCCAGGGCATAATGTCGCTAAAATCATCGGAATACCGAATATTGGGAGGTACCGTTTTATGGAGGATATATGAAAACGTGGACCTACGTGGCCCATTTACGAACTTAACCTGCCTACTGGAAAAATAAACATATGTGCAAAATGTTAGCCTTATATCTCAATTCATTCAAAAGATAGCGTGATTACAATAGACAGAGGGACAGACAGACGGACATCGCTAAATCGACTTAGAATTTTACGCTGATCTAGAATATATATGCTTTGTTGCGTCTGACATGAGTATTTTGAGGAGTTACAAGCGGAATGACAAAGTTAATATACCCTCCATAGTATGGTGGAGGGTATAAAAATTAGATGTTTGATTTTTATACCCTCAGCCTCCACAGATGTTATTTTGATTACACCCTCAGCCGTATGTCTAGAGAGGGTATATATCATTTGATATGGTCAAAACGTGCCCAGTCGAAATAACGATTGTAAACCCTAGGTCTCTTTGGACCAAATCCGTTTCAGGACATTTGGAGTCGATCTAGCCATGTCCGTCCGTCCGTCCGTCTGCCTATCTGTGTGGCTGGTGCGCACGATAACTCTCGAAAAGAGTGTCCGATTTGGTTTAAACTTGTTACATCGCAATATTATGGTCAAACTTAGATCGAGCTCGGAGATGGGCAATATCGGCCCACTCCTTCTGGTACCTCCCCCACAAAAGGTCGAAATTTTCGAAAAGAAAGAGAAACATTAAAGTGATTTTGCTCCAACTTTGTAAATTCTGCTAGGTCAGGTGTGAAAATGGACAAGTACCTCCCCACAAAGGGTCCAAAATTTTACAATTACAATTCATATAAAACGTGATGTGAGAATCCGATTGTCTTCCAATTTCACACATAGTAATATTTTTATTAACCCAATGTCTGGTGTTAAGATGGAATATATCGGTTCACTCCTTCTGGTACCTCCCCCACAAAGGGTCGACACTTATATATATTTTCTGCACAGAAAGAGAAGCGATAATCCGATTTTTCTCCAACTTTACAAATTCTAATATTTGCGTCAGTGCAAAAATGGATAATATCGGTCTACTCCATCATGTAACTCCCCCACAAAGGGTCAAAATTTTTAATATTTATAACTCTTATAAAATGTGAAGAATCTGATTGTCTTCAAATTTCACACATCCCAATATTTTTATAAACTCAAGATATGGTATTAAGATGAAATATATCGGTCTACTCCTTCTGGTACCTCCCCATAAAAAGTTGAAATTTTGAATATCCATTAAGGATAAATTAATATCCGATTCCATTTAGACTTTCTATCGGTCCATTCCTTTTGGTACCTTCCCCACAAAGGGTCCTAAAATGTTGAGTATCCATGAAGCTCATAAAACGTGAAATTTACATACGATTGCATTAAGACTTGGTACATCTCAATATTTCCATCAACACAAGATCTGTTATAACGATGGTAGAGATCGGTCCATTTCTTCTGGAACCTTCCCCACATAGGTTTCAAGATTTTGAAAAACAAATTTTCAATTTTTACATATACAAATATTTTTGATAACACAAGAACTGAAAATTAAATATATCTGCAAACCCCTTCTGGTACCTCACCCACAAAAGGTCACAATTTTCAATACCTTTATATATCATAACTTGCGATATAAGTCAGCGATTTTTTACAACTTGCTATATCTTAATATTTCTCTCAACCAGAAAATTGAGATGGATATGGAATTGATGATTTCGAAAAAAATTGGATATAAATGTTAGATTTTCTTATATATGTATAATAATATCTATATCCTATTTATTTAGGTCCGATATGAAATGGACAATATTGACCCATTTTTTCAAAACACACTCCATAGAGGGTCAAGAATTTGAAAATTCATAACAGAAGTTAGCATATTTTAAAATAATCGATAATTGACTGAGGGTAAACATCTGTCGGCAAAACCGACCGATACTTTTTACTTGTTTTATATTATTTAAGTCCGATACGAAATGTCCAATATTGGCCCATTCCTTCGAAACTAACTTCATAGAGGGTAACAATTTGAATAATTATGACAGAAGTTAAAATATATTTAAATAATCCAGCATTGCAGCACTGCTGGCAAAACCGGCTGATACTTGTTAACTTGATTTTTTGTCTTTTCTTTTTACAACCTTTTTCGAACACACCTCGTACCTCTTTTTTTTGGACTAACAAGATATTTCGCATCAATTACATTAAATTCAATGCAATCATTTCGTTTGCTCTCCTAAATCTCAACAAAGAGTTAAATGAAATTTTCCTTATAAAAATCTATTTAAATTGCTCACTTAAAAAAATGGTACACACATTCATGTGGGGTATGCTCGTCGCGTCCAAATAGTACCCACAACGGTTAGGTGGTGGAGAGAAGCAGAAAAATTTGGCACAACTCTTCACCTATCCCACCCAAATCCCCAAATGACGGTTAAGGCATGTAAATCTGTTTTGCAGGGGTGGCAAACAATTTAAATGAATATTTGTTGTTGTTGTTGGTTTTGTTGTACCCTCTACTATTTGTCTCCTGCAGAAGAAAAACTGAATTTTTTGTGACTGCACTAAATGCTTGGTACGAACGGTGATGTCGGTGAATAAAATTTGTTTTTACACTCTCGTTCAATGATCAGTTGAGGTCAGATGATCCGGAAGACAAGATCTTTTAAACGCTTTACTAAATAAATAATACAACAAGTTATCAAAATAGAGAAGAAAAAAAATCAGAAACAACAACAACGACAACTACATCAGCCAAATTAGAAAATATTCCCCCAAAGAGATTTTGCCCAGCAGGAAAACTCAAAATTCATATTTTTTTTGGTTCTCTGTTGTGATCTCGTTCTGTGCTCGGACCAATTTGCTTGGATTGACCAACTGGTGGTGGTGCTGGTGTTGTTGGTTTTGATTTTATACGATACGCTGATCTTGCGGCAATTGCCAAACGTCGGCGTTAGTTTAAAATCGTGTGATCGGTCGTCTGGAAAAATATTATCGAGCGGATATATGTCGCATAGCAGTCAACAGTATCGAAGCGACGCTGGTGCCCTGAAAATCCTTCAAGCTGAACTCGTCAAAACCACCTTTACCTCCATTGGCGAAACAACGACACACGCAACAAGTGGAAGCTGGTGCCACCGTCCAGGACGAAGACTGCGAACTACAATCGTTTGCGGATGCGATACGAAAACATAACCTTAGTACACCGATAAATCGGGCCCGTGAAACAAGGCTATCGTCGGCCGCCCTAAGGCGTCATCAATTGAAAATGTCCTTGAAAAAGGGTGGACCACCGCCGGCACCCTCAACGGGAGCATCTGGAGTGCAAATATCGATGTTGTCGCAACCGACAAATGTTAGTGTCGAAAAGAGTGTTGAAAATCGGGTGATGAAGAAATACTTTTTTCAATTTTCATTCGTATTCAATGAACAAAGCGAATGTGTCGAATGTTGGGTTTTTTATTTTTCGGTTTTGATCTCAAGTGGCGATTTCTTTGTGTCGGAACTGTGTTCGTTGTGTTTTGTTGATACCTAGAAAAAATGGCATTTGATTGAATTCGATTGAACATGAAATTTATGTGAATTTTTTTCAAGGTTGCCAATAACATAAAATTGAAAGAAAATTAACACGATATCAAGGGGAGTGCTCATAAATAGCATGACATTTTTGATTGAGATATTCCGGGTAGAAGAAATAGGTATGGTCAAATACGCATTTAAATTCGGTCGTATTTGCCTTTTTTTCTATTCGCAGTGAATTAAATAATAATGTGATATGGCTTAGTGACTTTGGCTTACAATCCTTTTTACTCTTCAATATAAAGAAAGCTTTAAACTATGAAAATATGTCAAATCGAGCGGTTTAGATATATGGTGCTGGTTCAGAGTGTACGAGATTTTTTAAATATAACAAGTAAAAAAGCTGTAAGTTCGACCGAACTTTTAACACTCTCCACCATTTGGGACGAATTTGACAATTTCCAAAAAAATAAAATCCGTTAAAAATGCTGTTAAAATCTTAAAAATACTGAATGCAGTCGTTATATTAGGGTCATAAGCCATTACAATATTCAAATGCGAAACTTGAAAAAAATTGGTGAATAATGTAGCTAAAATCACCAAAACAACCGAATAAAGGGAGGTACTATTGTATGGTGGCTATACCAAAACGTGGACCTGCACAGACAATTTTCTGTCATATGCTGTAGTATCCATTACAAACTTAAAATACCAAACATGAAACTATTCCGGTGAATAATATCGCTAAAATCATAAAAATACCGAATATCATTTAGTTCGGATGCTAGATTGGTTTCCATAGACGGACAGACGGATGGGCATCGCTAAATCAAAATCGAATTTTATGCTGATCTAGAATATATACACTTTGTGGGGTCTGGAAGGTATATTTTGAGGTGTTACAAATGGAATGAGAATCTTATGACATTTTGCATTTTATGAGCTTGATTGCATTTTGCGTTTTATTAGCTTGATTGCTATTCAAAATTGCGACCCGTTGTAGGGGAGGTACTAGAAGGAGTGGTCCGGTCTATCCTTTCTTAATACCGCTTAGCTCAATTTTGGCATACTCTTTTCAACAGTTCGGCTGATATTTGATGAATAAATCAATCATAATCAATTTTCTCTTTCAATGCATCAGTTGTAGCGGGCGGGTCTGTAAATACATGAACTTTAACAAAGCCCCACAAATTATAGTCTAGGCCGGTCCCGAACTTGAAAAGAAATGATGCCGACCTCGCCTCTCAATAAGCCACACGTGCTATGTGGCATGCGATACCGTCTTGTTGACATCACATGTCATGCAAGTCAAACTCTTGTATTATGAGCAAAAAAGCTGGATATCATCTCACGGTAGCGCTTCGTGATGAACTTTTGTAGTGGAACACGCATTTTGATAATGAAAACCCACGATTGCAAACGTTATTCATTTGCAGGACAAAACAAAACACGAAACGTGCGAGACCTGTTTAAAACGGCGTTGCCAAAAATATAATAGCATAAAATTCACCCTTCATCTTGTAACTATTAAGAAAGTTCTTCTGCTTTGTATTTTATTACGGAAAGCCCAATTATTTCCAATCTAGGAATATTGCAAAAGTGTTTTATTGACATTATCTGGTAATGGGTAATTCCACTTATATCAATGTCGAAAATTTGCATGAGCATCAACGATTTATCCTTGTTGTTTACGCACATCCCTGGGTTTTGTTGGCAGACACTCACGTACCCTATTCACTGTTCTCATTACTTGGTAATGTGTTAAGGAATAACCTTCAAAGAAACTTTTGCGATTCACATGAATCGAATAACTTTTGGGGTTTTGAAAGTAAATTGAATGCTGAACAACTCTATGAGGTAGTGGCATTTACTTCTAAGATTGCCAATATCACTGCGATACAATTTATAAACAAAGTCTGCCTTCTCCATCTATACCATGCAGGTGTAAAATAGATGTAAAAACAAAATGTCTCACAATAATATTTTTCTTAAGGCTCCTCCAATCTAACCTCGTCAGGTCATAATATAATAAAAGGATACTTTCATATATGCTAACTTCCATTCTCAAAAGTATTTCCATTTGGATTTTGATAGAAGTTTCTAAAAAATACTTATTTTATCCTCGATCGATTTAATCCATAATTTTCTCACAAAACCTTTACTGTCACACAAGTGGCATGACACCAAAAATGTGTTTGCAAATGTTCAGCGAAAAAGTCTCGTGAAATCTGCGACGCGGGCTGCCTAAACAATTTCCGCTTTTCCTCGCAATTTATCAGATTTTTCTACAAAAAAAAAAAAACATTTTTTTTGTTTGTGCCAGCCAGCAGTGTTCGTTTGCAAATGCGCCTTTTTCGACATGAACTTGAATTCGAACAGATGTCAATCAAGTTCAAAACATACATGACTCGACATGCACACACTAAATCTCTACCACAAAAGGTAATAACTCGCCCGAAAAAATGAATGAAAGAACAATTTTTATTTGTGGCAAAGCCAATGGCAAACTCAATGCGCGTTATGACGTTATTTATAATTGCCCCAAATAGTGAATAAACAAAATCGCCCAGCAATAATAAGAACATTGTGACGTATTGTAAACATGCAAATATTTGAATAAACAATATTGAAAATAATTTGTTTATAGCATCTCAACAAAACGGTATCATTGAAATGATATATGGCCACGCATTTAAATGTTGTAAACAAAACCTCTCAGACGATTTCAAAAATTAGAAAGAGAAAATCGTTTTTGTATTCTCGCCTTGATATTCTCTCTCTCCATACATGGACTCATTGAAAATTGTGGCAGGGATTTGGGTAAGCAATGTTAGAATCGATTTCGTCTGTACATTCGCCTGTTGTAACCTCAATGAACATAGATGGAAAAAAAACTCATGAAGAACATATATTCATGATGAGCATAAAATCCTAAGTCTATTAAACCAAGAATTGCAAGGAATCAGAAAAATTGCAATGCTATGCCTTGCTCTTTAATATATTAAATCGCTTATTTACTCAAAGAGTGTCAAATCTCAAATTGAATTTATGTCAATTCCTAGTCAGAAGCTGTATCTGTTAAGTTATATATTAAAGCAATTTGCTGTAATTTGACAGCCTTTTTGAGTAGATACAATGTTATCTGGCTAATAACTATCGACTCATGTCCACATTTCACTATGGCCCCATTTAACGGAACATACCGATATTCGGTATTTTAATGATTTTAGCGACATTACTGATCGGAGTTTTTTTCAATTTTCAAAGATCAAATATCTTAACGACGGAAAATTGTCAATGCAGATCCACGTCTTCACACAGACCACATATAACGACACATCCCAATATTCTGTATTTTTTATGAAATTATCGACAATATTCAAGGGAATTGTTTTAAATCTCGTTTTTAAAGATCTTATTAGGCACTACAGCCTATGACAAACAAGTAAGCAAAGGCTACAGACGAGCGGGGCCGACCGTTGAATATCCTACAACACTATAATAAATGATACAGTTTATATACGCGAGATACTCGAAAGAATTCCACAAGATATTGTGACAAATTATAAAAGAAAACCATCAGGTTTCGTTCTCTAATTTTCGAATAATAGCAACTTAAACTAATCTGCTCATTTCCAATTTATTGGTAGATGTTGCACGTAAATGGTCTTCCTAGATCTGGAACCAATATTTCCCAAAGACCTGTAATCTCTCAGAAGTGCAAAAGATTAACATTTATTATTGTTTTTTGACTAAAACGCATCTATATGAGATACAGACATTTGACTATATTCTTCAACGAAATCAGCCTTAACGAAATAGTCAGAAGTACGTCTTTCCTGTATTTGTGAATTCTCCAAAAAGTCACTGGAATATATATTTTCGTATTTTGTCTACAAAAGTTGGCAAACTATTTCACACATTGAATATTTTTGGATGGCCATCCAAAACTATTTGTCCGGTAACCTCCATTCAAATGCGCGTGAGGATCGGGCGATAATTACGACTTGCTGACAATTTTGTAGTTTTTTTGTCCATTTCAACCCCTAAATATATGGCGATTATCTCCAAAAAGAGTAGGCTTTTATTCTGACCCTCATCTTATCCCCATGCAAAATTTCATTAGGATCGGGCCATAAATGCGCTCTGTATCCTGATATCCTAACAACTTAGTTTTGTTAGCTGTAGAAATATTACCAAACGTTTAATTCAAAATGAAAATATGCCAAAAATATGACAAAATTGAAAAAATATGAGAAAATATTACAAAATCAATATTTTCATCTTTAGAGAGATATTTTAATGCAATTTTTTAGACGTTTTTTGTTTCCTGCCAAGAGGCCATTCTGAATTAATGAGAACTGTCGAAATCAGTTCAGCCGTTCTCGACATATAAGAGATCTTTCAAGCATATCTTCTTTGATAGACATAAATATCGCACATATTTTGCTATATATCCGATTTGTTGGATGTTAACATCAATGTAAAGATCAGAAGTAACCTTGTCATGGCTTTGTGATTTCGCCGGGATTTAAAATATTCGCGGTTTAATGAGAAATTTTGAATTTTTTCAACAAAAAAGATATGTTCTATTTTACCCACTAAATATTATCCGATGACCACCCAAATTGGTAGGCTTCTTCCCCGCCCTAAACTCTAGCTACATACGAAATTCCGCGTCGATTGGTCTATAATTGCGACCTGCATAGCTACTGCAAAATCCGACATTTTTTCAGTATTTGGTCCATTTCAACCCCTAAACATTTGGCGATCATCTCCAAAAGAAATATGCTTCTATTCTGACATTAACCCCACCTTCGTGCAAAATTTCGTAAGGATCGGGCCATAATTGCGACCTGTAGCGTGATTACAAATTAACATGGACAGACGGACAGACGGACAGACGGACGGACGGACATACATAGCTAGATCGACTCAGCTCGGCGAGCTAGGAAGATCCATATATACTTTCCTATATGGGAAACCAATATTTCGAGGTGTTACATAAATTCTGGCCCAATCAAACTTATAATACCCCCAACACATAGTGTTGTAGGGTATAAAAATTACATATGCGGGCCCACGTCTTCTTATAGCCCCTATATTAGGGGTTTCTCTTAAGCTATATTTTTCGGAATTTTTTGTAAATTTTCAATTTCTTTTCAAATAGTGGAGAGTCCATGGTCCTTTTTACTTGTTCAAATTTCATATTTGGAATTCATAAAGTTTACCACCTCTTACGGCAGAAAATACAGGTTAGGTCTACTTTTATCTACAGTCTCGTGTAACTGACTCCTCCCCCCAATATTCCTTATTTTGAAGATATTCGAGATATTTTTCATAGAATTGAAAATTGGTATTTGAAGTTTTCTAATGTTTACCATCATCTCTAGTAGCCCTGGCCCTATACAAATAGGGCTAGGCTTCCGTATATCTCTTACATAATATTATCTTCCAATATTCGGTATTCTCCATGTATATAAAATTTGTCATTCCATTTGCAACACTTCGAAATATTCGTCTGAAACCCCAAAATTTTCAACCGAATTAGCTGAAACTTGGCAATTGGGGTTCTAGGTAGGTCTGTTATCTCCTTGCAAAATAAAGGTACCGTCAGATTTTCACTATTTTGAACGTTTCGGTCACAAGTCCCGACCAAATTAGGTTTTTTATACCCTCCACCATACATAGTATGGAGCGTATATTAAGTTCATCATTCCGTTTGTAACTAATCGACATAATAGTTTTAGACATAACAAAGTATATATATTCTTGATCAGCGTAAATTTCGAAGACGATTTATCAGTCTAAGATATCGTATGGCCTTCATATAACGATAGCTCCCAATATTCGGTATTTTGTCTAAAAATTGGTATTTGTAGGTTATTATGGGTTCTAGCTTCGGTGGCGAAACATTTTATATATAGGTTGACGTTTTTGTATAGCCCCATGTAACGGTGCCTCCCAGTATTCGGTATTTTGATTATTGTAGCCACATTTTTTAATGGAATTATCTGAAACTCCACACAAGGAGTTCCTTCTGTGTATTTCCCTGAAAGAGAATTGTTTACATATATTGGTCCACGATATCGTACATCACCTATATAACGGCTCCTCCCGATTTTCGGTATTTTGATGATTGTAGCTAAATTTTTCAATGGCATTGTCTCTCCTCTCTCTCGCCCATGGAGAGAGTTGTCTATATAGATCCACGATATCGTATATCCTCTATATAACTGTTCCTCCCGATATTCTGCATTTTCATGATTTTAGCCAAATTTTTCAGGAAATTTTCTGAAAATCCACACAAGGAGTTCCTTCTGAGTAATTTACCCCCAGAAGAAAATTGTCTATATAGGTCCACGATATCGTATAGACCCAATAAAACGGAACCCCTCGAAATTCGGTATTTTGATGATTTTATCGACATTTTAGACCGACATTTTTTCAAATTTCGTATGTAAAGAATTAAGTTCGTAATGAGTACTACAACCTATGCCAAAAAATGTCTATGCAGGTCCACGTCTTCGTACCTTCATTTATCCGGTATTTTGATGATATTAGCAACATTATTTACCGGAATTGTTTCAAATTTGAGGATATTAGCATCATTATTCAACGGAATTGTTTAAAATTTCGTATTTGAAGTTCGGAATCGATACTACCGCCTATGATAAAAAAAATTACTTATGCAGGTTCAAGTCTTTGTATATCCCCCATATAATGGTTTTCTTTTAAATGGCATTTTTCGACGGTTTTTTTTTAAATTATTCAAGATCCTTCAAAATGATGGAGGGTATTAAAAATTAGGCCCGGAATGGCTTGGGTTTGTCTCTTTCTGGAAAAAAACATAATAGGTCAACATTTTTTGTGTTCTCTCCTTGTAATTGTTCCTCCTGATTTTCGGTCAGCTGATATTTTAAAAAATAAACATTTTAAACATTTTGAGAATGAACTTTATTGGTAATCCCCGATAGATAGAAATATTTCGGGAATAACGAAGAACAAATTGTGAAGCTAGTTTTTTACGGACGCATAGAGAATGATTTTAAGGAGTGTATTCCTCAAAAAATTAAATGAATTAAATTGTCGTAATTTACAAATTGTGTATATTTCTTCTTCTTATTTTTTTTATTTTATTTTATTTTTATTTTATTTTTTTTTTGTTGCTAAAAGATTGATTTTTTTTAAAAAGCAAGAAAAAATCAAGCAGACAGTAAATTATTTCCAAATACGCAATTTTATGATGAACTACTTGAGAGCGAAACGAAAAGAAAAATAAAACCCAAAACAACAATTTTACGCCAATTAAAATGTATTCAACATTTTGCAACAAAAAAGTGTCGATTTGAAAAAAAAAGGAAAATAATTTTGATTTTTGTTGTTGCTTACTCTTTAGCCACTATGCAATGTTGATACATAAAGTGAAATAATTTTTTTTTGTATTTTTGGTTTCAATTAAATATTTTGCTTTTGTTTTCTTTTATTTTTCTTTTGGGGGGATGAGATCTTTGGCATGTGATGTTAATGTATGTATGTAAGATTGTTTTTTTTTTTTTGGTCCCACTTGGGGATGGTACGTGTCTAAGTGGTTGGTTGATACCTTCTAGTTGGGCTGCCAGACATGAAACAAAATTCAATTAAAATCTATTATGCATCTTTTGTTGTTGTATTGAGTGTGTGTGTGAATTTTGGTTATTTTCTTTTGTTGATTTTTGCAAAAGCAAATAAATAAATAAAAAAAAAAGAAATTGATTTTGAATTCTTATTTCAACTCTTCTCATATCTATTTGCAGAAAATACCGACAGTTACGGCGGGCTATGATAACGAGAAGCATAACGGCTCAAGGAGTAATAACGCGTCCGTAAATCAAACAAAGTATGTTTTAAATATTTTCTTGCCTCATATTGTTGTACTTAAGAAAAAAAAAAAACAAACTATTTAAGCGGTTCTTCTACTTTTTATTTGAATTTAAACATTAACATTTTGTTTTATTTTTCCTCATCTGTAAAACTAACAACTTTTGAGTTCGTCTATAATTCGGTTAATTACAAATCTGAACTAAGTAGTGATAATAGTTGCAATACAATCCAAACAAAAACTTTTCTCGTTCTTTTTTTATCGGGAAAAGTCAATGAAAATTGTAACAAAAATAAACTAAAATAATAGTTGATCATCTTTATAATGCCCATCTATAAAAATATTGAAAATGAATCATCAACATCAATGTTTGAAATGTATACTTCTTCGGATAGATTCATACGTCCCGAAATGGCCGATGTCCCAGTACAGCAGGCGGCAGGCTCAACACTGCCTTTAGTCATATCGAAGAAGAAAGGCGGTGGTGCAGATGATTCCGATGATGTCAACTATAATCCGTTCGAGCACCGGAAAGTGGAACATCCAACATCGTAAGTATATGCAAAAAATAATATAAAATATCCCGTATTTTTTATCATAATAAAGAAGGATCGGAATTTTAGATTTGAATTTGATATATAAATAATAGTGAAGAAGAGGAATCATTGTTGAGAGAAGCTCATGATAAAATAAAATTCTAGTGAAAATATTAGATAGCATTGAAGTTATATGTCTTAATATAGGGAAATAGAAATTTATGCAAATAATTTACGATCAAATCCAAAATTTTTTTTCTAATTTTTTTCCACATTCATACTTAGATATTTTAGTACTTTTAGGGCAGAACTATATATATTTCCCACAATTAGGACACTTATAATCCTGCCAAATGTACCGATTTATTGAAAGCATGAAAAGGACGTGGACATGCGCCAACAAACAAGATTAAGCCACTAGGAACCCTGAATTCCAAAATAGGCTAACAATTAAGAAACAATAGATAAATTCCGGCTTAGCCGACCATGTGATGACTATATTTTACGGTAAAATTTCTATAGATCTAGCCCTCTTAGACCTTCTCAAATGGGAATTCTTTTTAGAACTCCTTAAAAATCATTCCAAAAAACAAGGATCGTTTTTCTATATTTTAACAATCCTCATAGATCTGAGACCAATATTTTCAAGAAAATAACTCAGCATTTAATGTATTTTATGAATTGCAGTATAAATGTTCTCAATTTTATCCTTGAAATAATATCATGAAGCCTTTCAAATTGCTATCTTGGTTTTGACAGGATTCGAGAATTTCATGGCAATTCCTCATACTATATATATATAGTTATATACTCCAATATACTATCTTATGCCTTCGTAAGTAAGGCGAGCCAAAAAGAATTGAAAGCAATGTTTAAAAATTTAGGATGTTGTACATATTTTATTATATCTCCGACATTTTGCTATATACGTCAACGAAACCAACACCAATTTAAAGGTCAGAAATGTCCTCTTCATGTATTTGTAATTTCGCTGGGAAGTGACTTTCAGCGTTCACACAAAAATTATGGCCCATCTCACAAATATTATCTGAACACCATCTAAAATTGTAGGCTTCTGTCCTTTTTAAGTTCTTATTCTTTGCCGATTGATCTGTATTTGTGACCTGTAGATCAACTTCGAAATCAAGTCCTTGTCTATGTATACATTGTGAGCATCTCCGAAAACAATAGACTCCTATTTTTATTCCCAATTTTTACTCTCAATGAGGCCATTTTTGTGATCTGTAGCGTGATTACAAATTAATTTGGAGTGACGGACGGAAATGGCTAGATCGATTCTGGTAAACGAAATTGATTATCGATTTGGCTCAATTAAACTTATAAAACTCCCACAACATGAGTTGCAGAATATAATAAGATGCTCCTGAGAAGATATAGCTTTTATTTTTTTGTGATTTTTGCTCCACATTACAAATCTTATATGTTATCCCTTTAAAGTTTTATGCGGGAAACCTCATCTTAAAAATGAATTGCCAACATATATATATATATATGAGTGCAAATCTCTTTGAGGTAATTGAAAGGCTTCTTTCAGTGTTAGTTAGAAAGAAATTCTGTTAAAGTTTCTGAAATGGTCTTCCACTCGACAACTTGAAATCGGGAATGTGTCTGTTTTTAAACAAACCAATTAATGTAAGACTTTTAAATCAAAAAAAAAAAAAAAAAACAAAAATAATAATAATAAATAAAAAATAAATAAGTAAACAAAAATAATAATAATAATAATAATAATAATAATAATAATAATAATAATAATAATAATAATAATAGTAATAATAATAATAATACTAATAATAATAATAATAATAATAATAATAATAATAATAATAATAATAATAATAATAATAATAATAAACAATAATAATAATAATAATAATAATAATAATAATACTAATAATAATAATAATATAATAATAATCATAATAATAATATAATAATAATAATAATAATAATAATAATATAATAATAATAATAATAATAATATATAATAATAATAATAATAATAATAATAATAATAATAATATATAATAATAATAATAATAATAATAATAATAATAATAATAATAATAATAATACTAATAATAATAATAATAATAATAATAATAATAATAATAATAATAATAATAATAATAATAATAATAATAATAATAATAATAATAATATAATAATAATAATAATAATGATGATAATAAAATAGAAACAAAGTTAAACTAGTAAGGAAAGACAAAATTATATTTAGTGGGGTCACCTGCAGCAAATAAATGCTCAAATTGTCAATTTAGGGCGAATTAATTTGAAATCCATGAAACTAACCTGTGAAAGCTAAACTTGACTGAAGTAAATGTACTTTCTAGTTTACCTTTCGCACTAAATATAATTGCTATGTTGTGGATGGTATAACTTTCAGAATACTTAAATATAAAATCGAATGAAACATCTTAATTACACAAATATAGCATCCTTCATGTATTATTTACCTCAAATTATAGGGAAATATATATGAGAAATATATCCAAATCTGAACCGATCTCGATAAAACTTGGCAAAGGTTTTTTTTTTTTTGGATGTACCCAATATAATCTACCGAAATTCATTGTTTGGGAGTGTATAATACGGATTTAGGGGACTTACATATAAAATCGGATGAAACATAAATATGGTAGCTATACCTAAATCTTAACCGATTTTCACCAAATTGGACATACTTGATTTTAAGCTAAATTTAATAGATTATTCCAAAATTCATATCATTTACATATACAAAGATATATATGGGAGCCATAACATATTTCGTCAATAATTTTCAAGGATACTCTTCGGCTGTACATAATATCTTGTACCGAATTTCAATGTAAATATATGTGAATAGATTCAGGATGTGATTCTATGAAGATCGTAAAAATGAACTATGGGTTCATCTCGTTTCCTTTTGCCGGTTACAAAGAAATGCCCTAAGGCCATACAATTAATTTTCCTATAGCTATACGAAAACGTGGACCTCTGTCTTCAATTTTCTCCAAATATGAGACAATTATATTGAAAAATGTAGCTAAATCCATTAAAATATCAAATATCTGGAATACAGATACATGGGAACTATACGAGGTCGTATACAAATTGCCTATTGCGAACTCCAAATTCCAAATTTTTAATAATTGATTTTCAAAGACGGACAGACAGGTGGGCGAACATCGCTAAATCGACTTAGAATCCTATGCTAATCAAAAAAAAATATATATATATATACTTTGTGAAGTCTAAATGTATATTTCGAGGTGTTACAAATGGAATGACAAACTTAATATACCATTTGGATTCACTTAAAAAAAAAAACCTTCAATATCAGATCTTTGGAAGAATGGAAGGTATATTAAATTTGCCATTCCGATTACAGCACCTGAAAATATAAAGTATATATTCATGTCCAGCGTTAAATGTTATGTCGTTTATCCGTCCGTCTATTGAGATTGCCCTATTAATGAAACAGTTTTGCAATTTTCTACAGGAATCGATTTTATTTCTAGGAATTTTCGGAATTTTGAAGATTTTCATCGAAATTTCTCTGAAAAGATTTACTTCTCGAAAAAAAAATTGATTTAAACTGACCTTATGGTATGGACTTATGGACCTCTTTGATCTTTGATATTTTTTCAAGGTTTAAGCTTTAATTTTCGAGCAAATCAGGTTAATTTGACATTTATTATTTTTTTTTCTCAAAAATATTCAACATATAGCCACCTTTTAGGGATATGGGGGGTATAAAGTTCGACCCGGCCAATCTCAACGTTATTTTTACTCGTTATTCTTCTGTAACTCCAACCAATTTAAGAGAGAAAAGAAAAATAATGTTATCATTTCTTACATTTAACAAAGTACTTAGACCTGGATTCTGGACCGATTTAAAAAGAAAATGGAATAATTATGTTTTCTATTTCAGCAATAACGTTATTAGAATCGATTGGGTTTATCATACTCTTGCTATGCCCTCCACCTTGAAAAGGACGGTATATAAACTTTGACATTCCGTTTGTAGCATCCCTAAATATTCATGATCAGCATAAAATTCTAAGTCGATTCAACGATGTCCGTCAGTCTGTCTGTTGAAATCAGGATACAGCTCACATTATTTTACGTAGAGCTTCAGAATTTGGCAGAACAATTGTATTGTGTCTAGGATGCTTGGTATTGAAAATGGGACACATCGTTTTACGTTATTTGGTATTTTGATGATATTTGCCACAACAATTCAGTATTTGTAGGTCATAATGGATTCTAGTAGCGGTGGCGAAACATTGTATATATAGGTCTACGTTTTTGTATAGGCCCCATATCACGGTACATCCCCATTATCGGTATGTTGACGATTTTCGCAACATTTATTTAAGAATCAGTCTAAAAATTGGTATTTGTAGGTCATTATGAGTTCTAGCTCCGGTGGCATATAGCGCACATATAACGATACCCACCAATATTCGGTATTTTGATAATCCCACGAAATTATTTCAAATGTGGTATTTAAGAAGATTTGGTAGACGACAATCCTGGAAGTATAAAATTGCCTATATAGGTTCCCGTTTTGGTATGGCCCCCATGTAACGGCCTCACCCATTTTATGGTTTTTTGAAAAGTTCAGCAGCACTGGTATTTGTAGCTTAAAGTGGAACACGTTTAAATTCAGATGATGGAGGGTATTAAAAGTTGCGGCCGAATTTTTTTTCTTGTTTTTATTTATTTGTGGAGAAGAAATTAAAATATTTACTAGGCGGAGAATTCTATGATTTCGTAAAAAGGATTTCCTTCCTAGGAGTTATTTACAACAACTTGGCAAAAACTTGTTTATATCCAAGTTACTACAAATAATTTATCCCAAGAGTATCAAAACCTAAAAATTTCATGTTTTGTGGTAAGAATTCAAATATGTAACCCCACTGTTTAAATCCTATCGCGTCTGATTTTAATATCTTGAGGGCTATATTCTTGTGCGATGAATTACTTGAAGAACATAATTTATGTCGCTAAAACTCTATGTAAGGTACTAATTACAACCTTAACATATTTAAGGAGTTATCATTTTTAATATCTTTGTTTTTTTCATCAAAACTTTTCAAAACATTTTTTTAATACAATTTACTGTTTTGAGTAACCGAGTGCTCAATACAAATGTCTTATTTTTCATGCGATACTTCTTTTTTTTTTGTAATACAATAAAATTAATTAAATCCCAAAACGTATCAGCATATCTAGATGTTTTCTTTAAAATATCAAACTATTTAGTTCAGTAATGGGAAAAAATCCTGTCAATATTTACTTTACACTGAGAAAATTTTAATTTCGGTGTTGATACCTTTATTTTATTGAAGGTATATCCCATTACCTGAATTTAAATTCACTATCATCTAATTTAATCATGATTTATTAATACAATTTTTCTTAGATCAACTTTAAATTTAGATTGCACTCTAATACATATGTTCTGTCGCGTATATTGCATATACCGGCTTTTTTGTTTTTCGATCCCCATGCAGTTTACGAGTTAGCGGAAATTTTCCACTTGGCACACAAATATGCTGAACACACACACACACACACACACACACACACACACAAAAAGAACATAACGTCAAAACTACAAAGACAGAGACCTTGGTCATGAAATAGCTGCCAAAAATTTACAGGCAGTACGTCCTACATACATTCAATAAAAATCTATGTAGGTGTGTATGCAGCAGAAAGAAAAAAAAATAGAAAACTTTGTACATTTTACAAATTCATACTTTTACACTCATAGAAAAATGTGCATTCAAGCAAATCAGTGAAAGCAACAAATTGTTTCTAATAGTTTCGGCGATGTAAACGCTTGATTTATCATTTTTAATTGGCATGGCCAATAACCTGCCGGACAGTCGCACATGTTTCTCTGGTAGCCGGCATTGCACTTTGTTCATTTCGAAATAAATTGATTCGATTCACAGTGGTTTGATTTAATTTCAATTAATTGTATTCTGAATAAATGCATCGTTAATCAATTTTGATTTCCCTTCTATTAATAAAATGGCGTTTGTTAAATAAATTTCAGTTTTCTTCACAGCAATACACATATTCTACAAATGGGTAGTTTGTGTAATCTTTCAATTGAAAGTGAGAAAATTTTTATTAATTAACAAGACAATTTTTGTGAAGAAAATTGTAACTTATAGAAAGTAATATGCCTATTATTTATATTAACATATAATTATAAGTGTAAAAAGTGATCTGCCCACGTGCAGGGGTCCAAAGGGCAATTATAATGAATTACACCTCAATTATTGTAATTCAAACTCTAGTTAAATAGGTTGGCTGAATAGTGCTTACAATTTGAAATCATCTCTTCAGTCCGGCTGAATAGTAGTTTCCCTCTAGGAAACCTTTTGATAAGCTAAATAATGGTCTACATAGGAAAAGTGGTTCTCAGCCTGGCTTTCAATAGGAAACAAGTAAGGAAGCAGTAAATTCGGTCGGACCGAACTTTGAATACCCTCCACCATATGGAACGAATTCTTCTAAAATGTTAAAAATACAGAATAAAGCTATTATATTGGGATCTATACGATGTGGACCTGTATAAGCAACTTTTATCATAAGTTATTGCAAAATTCAAACACGAAACTTGAAAAAAATTAGGTGAATAATGTAGATAAAATCATCAAAATACCGAATATAAGGAGGTACTGATATATGGAACCTATACGAAGACCTGGACCTGCATAGACAATTTTCTGTCATAGACTGTAGTTCCCATTACTATTAATACGAAACTTGCAACAACTCCGGTGAATAATGTCGCTAAAATCATCAAAATACCGAATATTGGGAGATACCGTTATATCGGGGCCATACGAAGACCTGGACCTGCATAGACAATTTTCTGTCATTACCTATTAGGAACTTCAAATATAAAATTAAAAATCAGCGAATATTGTAATACAATAGTCAAAATACCGAATGTAGGGAGGTACTGATATATGGGGCCTATACGAATAAGTAATGTGAATAATGTCGCTAAATTCATCAAAATACCGAATATTGGGAGGTACCGTTGTATGGACGCTATATGAAGACGTGGGCCTGCGTACGCAATTTTTTGTCATAGACTGTAGTACCTATTACGTATTCTGAATACGAAACTTGAAACAACTCCGGTGAATAATGTCCCTAAAATCATGAAAATGTCGAATATCGAGGGCTACCGTTTCATGTGGGCTATACGATATTGTGGACCGATATAGCGCATCTTCAAACATGACCTGCCTACACAAATTGCTGATCTTCCCATCTTTATTCGTTTTGACTCAAGCGTGATTACAACAGACAGACGGACAGGGCTAAATCGTCCTAGAATTTTACGCTGATCCAGAACACAGGGTGAGATAAAAAAACTGCAACAAAATCAAACGCTATAATTTTTACATTTTTTTTTTAGTTTTATTGAATGAAAGCAAAAAATGTCGGAAATAGCATCGAATTTTAGAATAAATTTAGATTTGTTTGAATTTGTCACCTTTGGCACGAATAAACCCTTTCAAACCGCCAATGAAACCGTCACACGCTGCCCGAATGTTGCTCTACGGTATTTTGGCCAATTCCCGACGAAGCGCTTGCTTGAGGTGATCGACACTTTGGTATTTTTTAGTGGCAACCCTGCTTTCCAAAAATACTAAAGCAGAATTGGTATCCGGAGATTTTGGTGGCCATTATGCGCTGGAAATGAAGAGAGGAACCTCATTTTGTAACCATTCTTGGGTGACGCGTGCTGAGTGCGATGGTGCTGAGTCCTGTTGAAATGCCCAAGGTCTGCCGCAAAATGTTTGCGTGCCAAAGCTTTGATACACCCTTCAGAATATTTTCGCAATAATATTCGGCATTTATTCTGATGCCACGGTCGATTAATACGAACGGAGAACGACTATCGACTGTTATGGCGCTCCACACCATCACCATGGCCAGCGCTTGAGTTCTGGTGGCCAACCGAAGGTGCACATTTTCGGCCAAGCAATGCAACTCTTTAGCTCTATTGAGTCTATTTTATTTCGGTTATTGTCAAAGTTCTTTCACTTTTTGGTACTTCAATGGCTTTACCCCGAGCTCATTTTTCAATAATTGCCGAATGGAATATTGCGATATGTTCAGCTCACAGGCCATTTCTGCCACTGTGACGCGGCTTTCGATCAGGTCGCTTCTTTACTTTTTGAACCATTTCTGCGGATGTTGCTGTTTTCTTCCGTTCACTTCCTTGACGTCGGGCTACGCTACCAGTATCACGATAACAAGCGATGGTGCTGGAGTGCTCTAACGAGTGCCACTTGTGGTTTTCCGGTCAAATATAAAGAAATCACGAATAACTTTTTTTCTGGAAAATTATCACCAAAATGCTTTTTGCGCTTGTAAATAATATAAAGATCAGTCACTGGAACTGTCGCACGAGTGCTTAGAAATGACAGCAGTCAGAAGTTGGTTGCAGTTTTTTTATCTCACCCTGTATGGTGGAGGGTATACAAACCACTAGGAAAGCATCTATTCAACCTGGCTGAATAGTGGTTTTCCTCGAGGAAATCATCTATTCAGCCTGGCTTAATAGTCATTTATATTCGGCCTGTCTGAATAGGGTTTCTCTGGGAAAGCATCTATTGGGCAATAGTTGGTTTAGGGAAAACGCTACGAATAGCGTTTTTCTCTCAGGTGTAGAGTACATAGTTCACATTTGACATTTAAACAGGAAATTAACAAAATTGTTGTTATAAACAAATATTTTTACTTGGCAGCTGATCATCAATGTGGTGGCGGTCACTGCCATGGCGTGTACATTTTCAATTTGAGCAAGTTCAACGTGGCGTCAAATGTGGCGCTTATATGTGTGTGTGCGTTGGCTATTTAATTTGTAAATGTTAATGTGATTTTGCATTGCATCCCCTCATGATATAGTTTTAGTTCATTGAACACAAAAAAGGCAGATTGACAAAATTATTTCTTACATCTTAAGTAATACATGGGGCTGAACATTTTTTGACATTTTGCCAATATAAATAAATAAGAAATGTTTACATGTGTGTGTGGTATATACATTTGTAGGTATAATACTATAATGTTTATAACATATAATATACAACAAATTTTTAATGTTATTAGGCTGAAAGAAATAGGTATGTAGATCAGCGATATATGAAAAAATAAAGTTTTTCCATTTTGGATTTTTCATTACGATATTTTAAATTTATCTTCCAATTTCTCCTAAAGAAATCTGCATCCATTCTCAATTGTTTTGTTAAAAATAACAAACATACTCCAATAGATCTCGATTATGTTAGGATCGTTTATATATAGCTTGAAACTGTAGATATATACAAATGAATTGAGTAGTAGGAATGTTACCACTTTTTCTGCCAATCATCGATTTTCCTAGCCAATTTAGAATTCAGAATCGAAAATTCCAATCCTTAAATATTTTCTAAAACTTAACCTAAATAAAAATGATTTTTTTTTTAATTTCTTTTCCAGTGATTTGGAAACATTTGTTCATCTGCTCAAGGGCTCCCTGGGTTCGGGCATTCTGGCCATGCCAATGGCCTTCCTCAATGCTGGTCTTTGGTTCGGTCTCGTCGCTACCTTCTTGGTGGGCACGCTGTGCACCTATTGTGTACACATTTTGGTCAAATGCGCTCACATTCTGTGTCGGAGGCGTAAAATACCCATGATGGGTTTTGCCGATGTCGCCGAACAGGCATTCCTTGATGGGCCCGTTGGTCTGCAGCGTTGGTCTCGATTTATACGTTTTGTTGTGAACACGTTTCTGGTCATCGATTTGATTGGATGCTGTTGTATTTATTTGGTGTTTGTCGGCACGAATGTGAAACAAGTCGTTGACTTCTATATGGAAGATTCGGAGACGGATATTGGTATAAGATTGTGGATTGTGATTATCACGGTGCCGTTGATCTTTATGTGCTTGGTTAGAAATCTGAAATTCTTGACACCATTCTCGATGGTGGCGAATTTATTGATGTTTGTCGGTATCATCATAACCTGCACCTATTTGTTCTCGGATACACCCGCCACAACGGAACGTGTTGGAGTGGCTGATGTTGCCCAATGGCCATTGTTCTTCGGCACGGTCATCTTTGCCTTGGAAGGTATCGGTGTAGTTATGTCTTTGGAAAATGACATGAGAAATCCCACCCACTTTATTGGCTGTCCTTCGGTATTGAATTTGGGTATGGGTGTTGTCATCACTTTGTACACTTTTGTTGGTTTCTTTGGCTACTTGAAATATGGTTCGGAAACGGCTGGCAGTATTACATTGAATTTGCCTGTGGAGGATAAGTGAGTATTTTTTGCGGAAAAAGTAATAAAATAATATTAATTAACTGTTTAATTACAGATTGGCCCAATCTGTGAAGTTGATGATTGCCATTGCAATTTTCTTCACTTTCACTTTGCAATTCTATGTACCTATGAGCATCATCTGGAAGGGTATCCAACACAAGATTGCCCCGGAAAAACAAAACTGGTCGGAATATGCTTTGAGAGTTGGTTTGGTGGTAAGTAAAGGACTGAATTATTTTCAAAAATTTAAGGTAGTAATACAATGAACGGCGGATGCGATCAATTTATATTTTATGAATTAAAAAAAAAACATGTAACATATATGAATATGGGCCTTTGGCTTGTTCTGTGAAAAGCTTTTTGAAAATATTTAACTGGAAGTGCTAAGAACAGAGAATGAAAGGAAACCTCTAGAAAATTTCAGATGTGGAATAATACCAATGTGGATAGTTTTAAAAATATGATTTCTTTAAATTTGTTCCAAATCCATGTCTTTGAAACTATAACTTCATCAGCGAAAGTCCACGTTAAAATTTTAGATTCATTTCAGCAGCTAGTTAAAGGCCTAAGTACTCAAAATGAACAATTTGTTTAGTTTGACAAATTTTTTTAATCAAATCTTCATACATCGTATTTTCAAGGTTTTATATATTTATATATTCAAATTGCGGCTTTTTCGGAAAGAATAATGTGAATATGATTACCTTTTATTCCAAAAAGTCTTCAAAATACTTTATTTTGAATTTTACCGTGTAGGATATTAATGAAACCATTGCACAAAAGACCCACATCCAATTTTTATGTCCAAAATTATTTCAGCCTTCCCCTAATGTAAGCCCTAGAAATCTACAGGGATCTTAATATCAAATTTGAGAATTTTAGCTCTATTCCTCTATCCCAATTCCAAATTTAATATGATTTAATTCTTTTCGATCAGTTAAAGTACGTATTATCAAAACAATCTCCGTATCTCAACCCTAGATACCAAGAGTGACCTTGATATCAAATTTCAGGATTTCACCGCTATAATTTCCCCATTGCCAAATTTTGTACTGTTTAGTAGTATGTATATCCATCCATACGAACAAGCAGTTTTTTTTTTTCAACCACAGATACCAAAGTGACATGCATATAAATTTTCGGAATGGATAAACCATTCACACAATTCCAAATTTAGTACCATTTAGTACTTTTCATACAAAACTATAACGCATTTCCAAACAACCTCCATATGTCCAGGCTACATATAGACAGAGACCCTAAGACCAAATTTCAAAGACTATCTGTTCACCCAATAACAAATTGTACAAAATGTAGTGCTATTTTGTACATTTCGTGCACATGTAGTACACATTTGCAAAACCACCTTAATGTATCAATTTTACTTTCCAACCTTGATTCTCAAACTAAATTTCAAGTTAATGAAGCAGTAGAATTTTAGAATCTTTCGAAACCTAAAAGTTTAAATTACCAAAAACCCTTTGGTACATATATCCGGTACTTCATCAGTGACTCATATACCAAATTTCAGAATGTTTGCTCATCTCGTTTGTCCAATACAAAGTAATACATATTAGTACTTTTCGTACTCTTTTAGTATGAAAGAGCCTTATCACACGCCTACGCACCAAGACTGGCCAGTGTTCAAAGTGTCAAGTTTCGTCAGGGCGTTGATTCTCCGTCAGTCAGTTATTTCACTAGTATTTTATATTTTGAATCAGGATTATGGCTACATAAATATTATATTAAACAAAAGGACCCTTTCCTTCTGCTACTTAGGTGAGGTAGCAGAAGGGTCAAAATGTTGAATAATAATAACTGTAACATGGTAGAAGAATACAGGTAGATTCATCAAAGCTTGGGATCACTGATATGTCGAAAAATGTTAAATGTTTTTTATACCCTACACCACATAGTGGTAAGGGTATTATGTCTTTGTGCATTTGTTTGTAACAGGCAAAAGGAACCGAGATAGACCCATAGTTCCTTTTGATGATCTGCATAGAATCACATTCTGAGTCGATTTATGCATGTCCGTCCGTCTGTCCGTCCGTCCGTCCGTCCGTCCATCTGTCCATGTATTCTTGTGAACAAAATGCAGGTCGCATTTATTATCCGATTGAGATGAAATTTTCCAAACAATATTTTTTTGGCCCAAGGACGAACCCTATTGAAATTGGTGAGAATCGGATCAAATTTAGATATAGCTCCCATATATATCTTCATCCGATTTCGGGTTAAATGTGCACCAAATATCCACTATCAGTCCAAATTACCTGAATTTTGGCAAATCCAACCGAGTTCGGCCTAGAAGCAAGTATATAAAATTTGGAGAAAATCGGTTCAGATATAGCTATAGCTCCCATATATATCTTTCATCCGATTTGATCTTTAAGTCTCTCACATTCCTACTATGCACTCCACAACCGTGATATTTGGTACCAGGTATTAGATGGAGCACAGAAATAGCTGTTTTAAATTTTATCGAAATCGGTTCAGATTTGGATATAGCTCCCATATATATCTTCATCCGATTTCGGGTTAATTGACCACCAAATGGCCAATATCAGTCCAAATGGCCCGAATTTTGGCACATGTGACCGAGATTAGCCTTAAAGCAAATACAACAAATCGGTTCAGAAACAGCTATAGCTCCCATATATATCTTCATCCGATTTCGGGTTAAATGTGCACCAAATGTCCACTATCAGTCCAAATTACCTGAATTTTGGCACACCCAACCGAGTTCGGCCTAGAAGCAAGTATATCAAATTTGGAGAAAATCGGTTCAGATATAGCTATAGCTCCCATATATATCTTTCATCCGATTTGGTGTTTAAGCCTCTCACATTCGTAATATGCACTCCACAAGAATGATATTTGGTACCAGATATAAGATACAGCCCAGAAATAGCTGCTTGTAATTTTATCGAAATCGGTTCAGATTTGGATATAGCTCCCATATATATCTTCATCCGATTTCGGGTTAATTGTGCACCAAATGGCCGATATAAGTCCAAATGGACTGAATTTTAGTACATCGGACCAAATTCAGCCTAGAAGCAAGTATATCAAATTTAGTGAAAATCGGTTGAGATATAGATATAGCAACCATATATAAGTTTCATCCGATTTAGTGTTTTAGTCCCATACATTCGTAATATTCACTCCACAACCGTGATATTTGGTACCAGGTATTAGATGGAGCACAGGAATAGCTGTTTTAAATTTTATCGAAATCGGTTCAGATTTGGATATAGCTCTCATATATATCTTCATCCGATTTCGGGTTAAATGTGCACTAAATGGTCAATATCAGCCCAAATCACCAGTCTAGAAGCTAATACGTAAAATTTGGAGAAACCTGGTTCAGAGATAGCTATAGTTCGTAAAATGCACGATAGAATTAGATAGATTTTGATTTTGTACCAAATATCTCATAGAGCTCTTAAATACCCTGTATAAACCTATTTACGAGAGCTCTACTAAATATGCATAGTGGTGTAGGGTATCATATAGTCGGCCCCGCCCGACTTTTGAGCTTTCCTTACTGGTTTCAAATATAAGTAGTTTTTTATATGTGTGCTTATATGACGTCATTCGTAGGTTGTTATAATTCGCGTTTTTCAACAATTTTTACAAATTTAAATAATTTTTCATTAAACATTTTCAATTCCAAAATTGGTTTGACAGTTTATTGTCTCAGCAGCTGTGTCGATGCGTCTACCTATATTCTTCTACCATGAGCTGTAGTAAAATGTAAAATGACAAATGTCTTCGAACTTCACTCATCCTGATGCATTTGCCTGTATTAGGTGTTGATGTAGAATATATCAGTCCCGTCTCTCTCTCTCTAGTACCTCCTCCAAAAAAGTTAAAGATGTTGCAAAAAATACAAATCTAATATCGAACACATCGTGTAACCAATATAGTTCAGACAAATTGTAATATTAAAATAAGACTTAGGCCGGGTGCGAAAATGAGAAATGATAACCCACGTTTTTTAGTATCTTTACCATAAAAAGTCAAAATTTTGAATAATGATAACCTTCTCAATATGTGAAATCAGTGTCTGGCTTTCTTCAAATATTTATTTCAATATTAAAAAATCTGCAAAATGTCATATTGAGCCAAAGAATTGGTTCACTCTTCATTGACATCCTCCACTTAAAAAAAAAAAAAAAAAAAAAAAAGAACAAATAAAAAAGCTATAATTTGGAACGAAATTGGCAATTTTCAAAAAAAAAAAAAAAACGTTAAAAATGTTTGGTAAAATCTTAAAAACTACCGATTTAAGCCATTATATTAGGGTCTATACGTCAAAGTGGACCTGCATAGGCCACTTTTGTCATAGGTCATATATTCAAATGCAAAACTTAAAAAAAATATTCGGTTAATAATGTAACTATAGCTATACCAAAACGTGGACCTTCACAGACAGTTTTCTGTCATAGGCTGTAGTACCCATTACGAACTTCAAATACCAAATTTGAAACAATAATCAATAGAAACGGTTAATAATGTCGCTGAAATCATTAAAATACCGAATATCGGAAGATACTTTTATATGAGGACTATGCGAAGACTTCGACCTGCACAGATAATTTTCAATTTCAGGCTGTAGTATCCATTACGAATTTCAAATTTGAAGCAAATCCGGTGGATAATGTCGGTAAAATCATCAAAATACCGAATATAGGGAGGTACCGTTATATGGGGGCTATACGAAAACGGTGACCTGCACAGACAATTTTCTGTCATAGGCTGTAGTATCCATTACGAATACCAAATACCAAATTAAAATCAATTCCGGAGGATAATGTCGCTTAAATCATCAAAATACCGAATAGAGGGAGGTACCGTTATATGGGGGCTATACGAAGACGGGGACCTGCACAGACAATTTTCTGTCATAGGCTGTAGTATCTATTACGAACTTCAAATTTCAAATTTGAAACAATTCCGCTAAAACTAACTTTAAATTTTAGTATTTCAAGATCTTAATGGGTACTATAGGCTATGACAAAAATATTACTTCTGCAGATATGGCGGTATTTTTTGTATTTTTTTTTTTAATTTTCAAGTTCTTTCCAAATGGTGGAGGGAAAGAACTTAGCTGCTGTTTTACTTGTTAGCTCTACTTTCATAAGTTATTCTTGAGCAAAATGCCCCTAGAATAACGCATTGACATACCGCGTTTAATTGTATCACATTATTATTATTATTTTTTGCAAATAAACAACACTAATTTCTTTTTTTTTTCAGGTACTTTGCGGTGCTATTGCCGTTGCTCTGCCCAACTTGGGTCCATTCATTTCTCTCATCGGTGCTGTGTGCCTGAGTACTTTGGGTATGATTGTGCCATCCATTATCGAATTGGCTGTCTACCATGAAGATCCCGGCTATGGACGTTTCAATTGGCGCCTGTGGAAAAATGTCTTCTTGATTTGCTTTGGCATTATTGGTTTTGTAACGGGTACCTATGTCAGTATATTGGAGTTCCATGCTGAATTCAGTCATTGATAAATGCGGAAAAAACACAATTCTAGAGTATTTTCTTATTTTGTTTGTTTCATTGTTTTTTGTAAGAGATGATATTTTCTATGATATGTTTATGATTTTCGTTTTTTTTTTTTGCAAATAGTTGTAAAGTAGGAAGTTTGCTAAAGTTTAACAAAAACAAAAATTGTAATTTTATTAAAAAATAATAATAATTTATGAAAAAATATAACAATAACACCAACAAAACCACAGGGATCATCAAGAAAACTAACTCAGATGTTTTTTTTTTAATAATTATCATAAACTAACCAAATTATATAGAAAAAAGGCCACAAGTCTATAGAATTTATTCATCTATTATTATTAGTTTGTAAGTAATTTAAGTTCCAATTGAAAATGACTGTGATGTCTGTGCACTTTGTTTTTAGGGGCAGATATTCACAAAAAAAAAGACAAGACAATTCTTTTTAAGAGATATTAGAAAAAAAAAAACACAAAACACATTGGCTCAAAATTATAAATTGAAGAATATTTGTCGTTGCTGCAAATATGTAATTGAATTCGGAATTACAAAATAGAAACTAATTAAGTTCCCTTAGAGTAAAGTGAAAACACACACACATACAAAGAAAGAAACAAAAACGTAGTACCTTTTGCTAATGAAATTGTAGTATGATAAACCTATTCTAATGGATGTAGATAAGCGCCGGGTCAAAAAGAATTTTAAATTTATTTTTTGACTTGGCACACATAGTATTTTTTACTAACAAGAAGTTATCGATATATTTATTTTCTTAAATAGTATCACAAAATAGACCTCATATTGGCTTTTTCCAGTACGGTGCTCGAAAACATAACACACAGGTTCCTGAGCAAGCTTGTGTGTCCTTTTGGAGCACTTTTCATGGAGCCCTGCTCTACAGTCAGTAAAAATTCGCCTTGTAACCTTTTGTCAGACCCCACGTAATTTTCATATTCCATAAAAATATCTACCGCTTTTCCAATAATCCTGGCTGTAATTTTTTTCTTTTCACCCTGTATTCATCATTCAAAGTAACGACAATCTACATAAGTTCAAAAGTTTGTGGTTCCTAATAACATTATAATTTAAGGCATATTTTTTTTAACAGCAAATTATTCAAAACACCACCCCCGCAAAAAACAAGCTTTAAAACATAAATGAAACCACATTTTCTTTTTAAGAAAGACGCTATAATTTATACATTTTATTGTCCCCATCCTTATTTATTAAAAGTATTATACATTTGTTTTCACATAAGTGTATAATAGACTTGCCTTAAAGTTTTCACTTTTCAAATATTGAATTAACAAATTTGAAATATATTTTTTAAAGTATGTATTATTTGCTTGAAATTTATTATCAACCATTTGAAAATGAAATAAATTACATTTATTATTATTATGTATTAATTTGATATAACAAACAAAAACTAAATAAAAAGAAAATAAAACAAGAAACAAAGCTTGGTTTGTTTTTTTTGGAATCCAGGTAATTTTGTTGAAAAATATTTCTTACCTAATAATGGAGGGTATTGGAAGTTCGACCCGACCGAATGGGATCCGTTGTATTTGTCGAATGGATAGAAATAGAATTCTGATATTTGGAACGAGGGTGTGTAGGATAGATTTACCAAAATTACCAAGTGTACTTAAAGTACTAAAAACACTGAATTTGGTACCATTTGGTATTATGTGAGCCCAAAGATAGGGTTTCAGAAATGTGCAGTATGTGTAAAAACTGTACTAAATTTGGTAAAATAAAGTTCTGGGAAAATAAAAAAAAGTACAAAAGCAACTAAGTTCGGCATGGTCCTTTAACACCCTGCACCCTTTGGAAGGAATTAGGAAAATGTGAGCCAGTAAGGAAAGGTCAAAAGTCGGACGGGGTTGACTATATGATACCCTACACCTTATTTAGTAGAGCACACGAAACAGAAACAAGTACAAAAGTTGTAAGTTCGGCCGGGCCGAAACAAATTTGGCAATTTTCAAAAAAAAAAAAAAAAAATAAAAAAATAAAAATAAAAAAAATAAAATGTATTGGGAATTTATGTGAAGAAGATCATACCACCAATGAATATGAAATGGTTGAATATGAAAAAATCTTTCCAATTTGGGCTGATATAACATATGTGGTGGGCAATAACCATAAAGTAGAAGGTCTATACACATCTGAACCGATTTCGATCTTGATTCGAGCTGCATCTGATGTCCGGTATCAAATATCATTATTGTGGAGTGCATATTACGAATATGAGGGACTTAAACACTTAATCGGATGCTTCTGGGCTGAATTCCGTAGGAAGTGCCAAAATTAATAAAATTAACCATTTGGTGCACAATAACCCTGATATCGGATAAAAATATGTAGTGGGAGCTATATCCAAATCTTATCCAATCTCGATAAAATTTGACAGATGTATTTCTGGGCTCCATAAATTATATGGTACCAAAAACCATTCTTGTGGAGTGCATATAACGATTGTGAGGGGCTTAAACACCAAACCGGATGAAACATATATATGAGAGCTAAAGCTATACCTGAACCGATTTCCACTCAATATACTGGCTTCCAAAATTGTGCCAAAATTCAGGTGATTTGGACCGATATTGGCAATTTTGTGTACAATTAATCCGAAATCGTTTGAAGATATATATTGGAGGTATATTTAAGTTTAAACCGATTCTCACCAATTTCAATAGGATTCGTCCTGAGCCAAATATTGTTTGGAAATTTTCGTCTCAATCGGATAATAAATGCGACCTGCATTTTGTTCACAAAAATACATGGACCGACGGACGGACAAATGGAATGGAGTGGTAGTATGCCTATATATAGCTTCCATATATATTGTTCATCCGATTTGTTGTATTTGTTACCCACATCCGTAACAACGATATTCAGGGAAATATATCAAATACAGCTCAGAAATATCTTTGCCAAATTTTATCGAGGTCGGTTCAGATTTGGATATAGCTCCCATATATATATACATATATATATATATATATATATATATATATATATATATATATATATATATATATATATATATATATATATATATATATATATGAATATAGGGTGGTACCGTTTTATGGGGATTATATGACGACGTGGACCCATTTTTCTGTCAGTGAATATGGTATCCACTACGAACTCCAAATGAAAAATGTTACACAATTCATAAAATACCGAATATTGGGGATAGAGTTACATTGAGACAACGCCTATATACTAGCAATAGCCCGCTACTTCGTCAGTGGAAATTCCACCTTACAATTTTAGAATCGTATGTAAAGTATTTGCTCTGTTCCAGAAACTGTAAGATTTTACTAATTTTGCAATCATTGTAATAAAATTTGTACATTCTTCCAGGTTCTGTAATAGATCAATGTTGTGACATCTTAAAATTGTTTTCGTTTTTATTTTTTGCTATCATTTATTAAATTTGATATATTGTATATTTCCGAAGAGTTTTCATTTACTAGCATAAGGTTGCATTTTTTTTCGAGGCGCCATCTATGCTTGAAATTATTAACATTGCCATATGCATAGACTAAGCCTAGAGATGCCGAATGCAATTTTAAGTGTATAGTATTTATGAATGAATAGAATATCAAAGACACAAACTATGTGACATAGACTATAACATACTTTTGGGGGCAAAGTGAAAAAAGCATCGCTCTAACAAGTGATATGTTTGAAAAAAAAAAAAATGTAGTTGGGTTTTTGCGTTCGTTGTAGAAAACAAAAAAATGATTTATGTTGACTCCTATTTTTAACTGATTTCTTATATAGGTCCACACCAAGGTCTGGTGTGAAAATGGAATATATCGGTCCACTCCTTCTGGTACCTCCCCCACAAAGGCTCAAAATTTTGAATATCCATGAAGCTCATAAAGCGCGAAATTAACATCCGATTCCATTCAGACTTGGTACATCTCAATATTTCCATCTACACAAGATCTCTTATAATGATAGTAAAGATCGGACCATCCATTTCACATTTAAAATTTATCACAAATCTCATACAAAGTGAAGAAAGCAGTAGATATAGTCCAAACCTGGCACGTCGCAATATTTATAACATATTTATTTAGGTCCTATACGAAATAAAGAATATTGGGCCATTCTTGCAGAACCAACTCCATAGAGGGCCCAGAGTTTGAATAATCATAGCAGAAGTCAAAATATATTTAAATAATCGAACATTAGCTGAGGGTATAGATCTGTCGACAAAACCGACTGATACTTTTTAAATTGTTTTTATACCCTCCACCTTGGAAAGGAGGATATAATAACTTTGTCATTCCGTTTGTAACATCGCTAAATATTCGTCGTAGACCCTATAATGTATATATATTTTCATAATCAGCATTAAAATCTAAGACGATTTAACTGTCTGTCCATCTGTCTGTCCGTCTGTTGAAATCACGATACAGCCAACATTATTTGATGTAGAGCACCAAAATTTAGCTGAATAATTTTTATTGTGTCTAGGATGGCTGGTATTGAAAATGAGATATATCGGTCCACGTTTTGATATAATCCCCATATAACGGTACCCCCCGATATTCGATATTTTGATGATTTTTGCCACATTTTTTCATGGATTTGTCTAAAAATTAGTGTTTGTAGTTCATAATGGGTTCTAGCTCCGGTGGTGAAACTTTGCATGTATGGGTCCACGCTTTTGTATAGACTTATATAGCGGTACCTCCCGATATTCAGTATTTTTATGATTTTTTCCACATCCACGGATTTGTCTGAAAATTGGTATTTGTGGGTCATAATGGGTTCTAGTTCGTGCGCCGAAACATTTTATGTATAGGTCCACGCTTTGGTATAGCCTCCATATAACGGTATCTTCCGATATTCGGTATTTTGATGGTTATTGTAACATTTTATCGCGGATTTGTCTAAAAATTGGAATTTTGTTGGTCATAATGAGTTCTAGCTCCGTACAGCAGTACCTCCCGATATTTGGTATTTTGATGATTTTTGCCACATTTTCCCACGAATATGTCTAAAAATTGGTATTTCTGAGTCATAATTGTTTCTAATGTCTCCATTACCCTAAAGTGGAGGGTATTAAAAGTTCGGCCCGGCCGAACTTAATGTTTTTTACTTGTTTTTTTTTTTAATTTTGAACTTTTGAGGGGGAGGTACCAGAAGAAGAGGACCGACTTTACCTATCTCCGAACTCGATCTAATTTTGATAATAATATTACGATGTACCAAGTTTGGACCAAATCGGATACTCCCTTCGAGAGTTATCCTGCGTACCAGCCAGCTAGACAAACGAACAGACACCCCTAGATCGACTCCCAATGTCCTGAAACGTATTTGGTCCATAGAGACCTAGGATATAAAACCATTATTTCCGAAAAAATTAGCAATTTTTCATAATTTCACTGTACTATAGTAAGTTCGGATTGTGTAAAAGTCCAAGTGGAGTTGATAGTAGATCATAATCTCAAAATAGTTTCGTGTTCTAAGTTCAAACGTTGATAAGGCCTTTATAACTTAGACTATATACAACAGGATCCTTACTACAGATGTACAAACATATTTCGCAATATTTAGGGTAGAGCTTTTAAATTTCATAGATATCCACCCTGCACGTTCTAATATTTTATTTTTGAAAGGAAAAGAGAAAAAAAATTTATATGTGTAATTCAATTTTATTGTATTATTTTTTTGTTTCTAATACATTGTTCATAACGACTTAATTAATTTTGTTTGTTTGCTTCTTTGTTATTAATATTAGGTTCAGTTTTACAAATTAAGGAAATTGTATCAAAAAATTAATTACAATTAAAAAAAAAAAAAATAAATTAAAATATAAACAAATACCAAGTTTTATTGGTTTTGCGATTTTATTTATATTATTTTAAATTAGAAATGTTAACAGATTTCTTTAATTATTTTAATTTTTTATTTATTATCAGTAAATAATTTCGATTGATGTTATGGGTTTTTGTTTTGAATAAGAGGTGAGTTTGATTGGTTAATTTGATGAACTTAAACTAATTACATTTAAAAATGTGTTTTAAAAATTGCTTATAAAACAAATTGATATAGTTAATAATTTATAAATCGTAGGCTTATTAATTAAGAGTTTTTTAGTTTTTTTTGTCAGAAACTTGTGTGAGTTTTGTTACAAAAAAACAATATTTTTTTAATAAAATATAAAGTAAGCTTGTTTTATGTCTTAAAATTAAAAAAAGTTTATTTTAGAAAGAAAGAAACTAGAATCAAGTATTAAAAGGTTTGGGGGCTGACTTAAACTATTTGTGTTTTATTATTTGTTATTGGGAATATTCATTCTCATATATTTGCTTATAGTCTAAAAATATCATTATCTGTTATCCGTTTAATTCTAAATAGATCTATTACAAAGAATCTTAGTTATGTGTTAATAAAAAAAATTAACAATGTCTTTTATGTATATCTATATGGAAAGTTGATTCATTACATTACATTTATTGTTGTTTTTTTTGTATAAAATGTTTAATTTTTTTGTAAATTTCCTGTTTAAAAACAATTGATTGGTTTTGTGACTTTGGAGGTGTCAGATTTTCTCTTTTTTTATTTGCACCACGCTTAAATTTTATCTAATTTTAGATAATATTTTTTCTTATTTTTTTTTTTTAAATCAGTTGCCTATAACAATGAACTCTATTGCTACAATATTTGAAAATATAATAACAAGGAATACCGAAGTCCGAAAAATTCTAAAAAACATACTCGTGTGCGGACGACTGAAAGTTAGAAAACATATATTGAGGATAATAAAATAATACTCCATACCACTTCAGGTCTTCCTTCTTCAAAGATGCCACAAAATTTTTGAAAAGAAAATAAAAAAAATCTGTAAATACTGGTCATAGGGGGTACCCTACACCACTATCCATACTTTGACTAAGAAATTATTAAAAATGCTGACAATAAAAATTAAAAAGAAAATTATTCATTGAAGGCGGAGAATAGAATTAGTTATTAAATTCAATCAATTCAAAAAAAAAAAAAATAAATAAAAAACATAAAATTGGTAAATGAAGTATGTGAGAAGTCACAACAGCTAAAACGAATTTATTCTTCGACCTGAAAAAAAATTAAAAGTGGTAACATAATCCTTTCCATAATCCGAATTTATTCTTCGACCTGAAAAAAAAAATTAAATGTGGTAACATAATCCTTTTTTTTGGCTTTTACAAACTTTAGATGTATATTCTGTCTAGCAATAAATATATATATGGCTAGTGGTGTAGGTAAGAAGTATTACACATATTTTAGATTATTCTAACATTTTCTTTTTTTTCCGAAAATGGGTTCCAAAAAGTAGTTTTTGTTCATTTTTTTATCTGAAATTTTTTTTCTATGAAAACAGTACTTAATTTTAATGTACGATCACTTTTGACAACAATATCATGTTATATCGGGATGGAGTTCATTTTTTTTTGAATTGTGTACATTTATCTGTATGTAATATATCTAAAGAAGATTTTGATTTTGTTTTTTTTTAACGATTTTTAACAATTTTGGACGGTTTGGTGTTTATTCGGATTTATTTGCTTTTTGGTTATTTGAGGACGTATTTAATTATTTGGTTTCAATAAGGTATTTGCAAGTGATTGTAAAAAAAATATTTGTTATTTTTTTGTTGTTTATACAAAAAGGGTTTCATTGTGTTGGATTGTTTGAAAATTAATAAAAATCGAGATTAATTATTTTCATGTCAGTCAAAAGGGCAATGTTTCAGAATTGTTTCTACTGAGTTTCAAAAGATAGTTCACTAGTGTCTCGAAATAATTGCTTTTTGGAGAAGAAATAAGAAGATCATTTCCTAATTTTGGAGCGCACGCGAGTACACCTGTCTGATACATAAGAATGGGAGTCAAAATATTCGAAATAGAGTTTACTTCTAGAGTGAAATCAAATGGAAACAAAAATTTTGGAAAACATGAGATGCTGAATATTGCAAGGGGGTTTAAACCGTATCATTTGTTGAAAACTAGGTATATAAAAAATTAAAGGAGTGCTCAAAAAAAGTAGAACCTACTCAATATGGATACGTTTTGCTCTCTCTCAAAAATGAGCAACGAATTCCCGCTCTAATTCGAGTCTTAGAAAAATAGGGTACTCTCGATTTCTTGTGTTTAACTCGTAGAAGAATACTCTTTAAAATACAAGCGGGTTTCACTCTCCAGTTCATTTTGGGGCTCCGACTAGCGTGCATATCGTTCGAAAGATGTGCACCATGGGCCAATGTATACAAGATAGGCCATAAAAAGAGGAAAAATTAGAATGTGTTGCAAGGTACCGGTCTTATTCGTGTCGTATAAAAAAGGAGAATTCCATTCTTTTTACTCACTGACGTACTTCCGCTCGAATTCAGAAGTTGAAAGTAGCAGGTGAAACTCGCAATTTCTGAGCACTTATTTATGAATTCTGAAATTTGGGATGACAGTTACTAATGGAATGCAGTATAGAGGTACCAAAGAGTTCAGGCTTAAGGTTACGAACAGTTATAAAATGGTACTAAACTTCTACAATGGTGCTATTTGGTATTATATGAACGGATAGAGCTAAAAAATTGAATTCGGTATGAGAATCAAGGTTGGAAACTAAGTTGGATGTATGGAGGTGGTTTTGGAAATGTGTACCAAGTCTTTGAACTGTGAACGGATTTGGGGAGAACGGATGGAGCCGAAATTATGTATTATAATTATGGAAATGGTGCACGAAAAGTACTAAATAGTGCTATATTCAGTACAATTTGGCATTGGGTGAAGAGATAATGCTTCAAGTCTGAAATTTGGTATTAGGGTCGCTGTTTATGTGTAGCCTGGACATATGGAGGTGGTTTCGGAAATATGTACTATAATTGTACGAAAAGTACTGAATGGCACTATGTTTGGTATTGGGTGAAGCGAATGAGCTGGAATCTTGGAATTTAATTTTGAGGTCTCTATAGGTATATAGCATTGAGATATGGAGTAGGCTCTGGAAATTTTTATTATAATTGTACTCAAAAGTAATAAATAGTACTAAATTTAGTATTGGGTAAAGGAATAGAGCAGAAATTACGAATTTTAAGATATTAAGGATTTAGGAAATGTGTACTGTAATAATTCAAAAAGTACTAAATACAATTCTAAATTTTGATATCTAGATTCTTGATTTGGCGATGGTTTGGGAATGCGTACTGTATTTGGGCGAAGGAATAGTGCTGGAATCCTCAAATTTAATATTAAGGTCTCTGTTGGTATCTGGGATTGGGATATGGAGGTCTTTTGGGAAATGTGTACCATAATTGTACGAAAAGTACTAAATTGAACTTAATTCGGATCACTGTTGGTGTCTATGGGGTAGAGATGTAGATTGTTTTGGAATATGCATACGAAACGGTACTAAATTAGGAATTGGGGAAAGGATAGAGTTGAGGTTTTGAAATTTCATATTGAGATCACTGTTAGTTTGTTGGGATAACATATGGAAATACTTTTGGACAAAACAACTGGATGTGGGTCCTTTATGCCTGCTCCGTAAAGTTCAAAATGAAAGATTTTGACGACTTAATGGTTAATAACGTAAACGTTTTCCAATTATTCTTTCCGAAATAGGAAAACATTGAATAATATATAAGTTCTTAAAAGTCTGAAAATTTATTACCATGTATGAAGTTTTGATAACAATTTTTGTCAGACTGAGCAAATTGTGCATTTTGAATACTAAAAAGGCCTAATACGAACTGTTGGAACGAATCTTAAATGTTAAGGTGGATTTTTCACTGACGATGTATCCATTTTATAGCTTTTCTGAACTTTTTGCTTAAAAAATTACATTTTTTTTCTGTTGGCGCCCAAATGGTTTCGTAGGGCATTTATAGCTAAGTCGGCGATTCATTGTACCATGAGTTATACTAAGGCATATTTAAATATAACAACTAACATTTTTACAAAAACACATTGTTTTTATAGAAACCAATTTATCAATGTCAGTAATATGACTTTTCAAACACTCTTGTCGACGTCTATATAAATTTAAAAAAATTAACCTTTTGCTTTAAATAATTATAATTTTTGTTTGTTGGCGCCCAAATAGTTAAAATTTGCGTTTCTGGTTGTGTCGGTGATTCATTGTGCCATGGCTTATACAAAGTCATATTTAGGCACAACAATTTAAATATTTACAAAAATATCGTTGTTGGTATGGAAAATAATTTTTCAAGGACAGAATTTCATTACACCATGACTGACATGAAAAAAATATGCTGTTCTCCTCTCAATATTATTACCCAACATGGCTGCAAAAATGGAAACCCTTTTTGTTTTGTATTTTTTCCCTGTGTTGTTAGTTATTTTTTCCTGTCTAAATCTGGAATGCTTTGTTCTTTACCTTTTTCCATTTTATTATTTCTGTACTATTAAAGGATTCTTCTATCAATTTTATTTCGAACGTTTGGTGGCACTCGAAGCAGTTGGTCGCATAAAACTACTTGATGAGCGTACACTTGAACTACTGCGAGAGGTTGCACCACGCTGTTGTTGTTGTGCGGCCGTTTGAGATGGATTGGTAATAGTGGCCTTGACCAAAATAGCCGAACGAGCCGATTGTGGTCTTGTCGAACCAATATTTGTTTGATTCTCTTTGAAACTTGTACTATTCCCCAGACTGGAGTGGGAAGAAGTTTGACGTTGTGTTGCGGGATTTATTCTATTTCTGACCACCACAACACTGGGCCCGACACTGGAACCACTAGAACTTGAACGACTTGCCGGTACACCGGTACCCAAACGATTTGCACTTGTCCGGATGTTTTGTGTACCCAATGGTCGTTTGCTGGGCGATGAATCTACGGACATGGTTTGCAGGGGACTCTTGTGGTTCCCCAGGCCCATGGGCATACGTTTTACGGTATTCGTAGAGGTGGCACTGTTTATGGAGGAACGCGATGAACGTAAGCTGTTGCGTGAACTGCTGCGTTCCACATCACGTTTGTTGGAGTTCGATGCTGCTTCCGCTACTTGGGGTAGTGTCTTGCGCAGGGACGTAGCTCTTCTTATGGCATTGTTGGTGAAGTTGCTCATGTGGGCCGCTGCCGGTGAGCTAGCTGGACCATGCACTGCTGGTCCACTTGTCGAGCGCGTTGCTCTCGAACGATCAACCGAGGCCGAGGGTGTTCTACGTGCCGAACCTGTCGTCGTCCCCGTAGCATTTGTTTGTGACTTGGCTGTTGATGAGCGTAAGCGGGAGATTTGTAATCTATCGGCCAAACGGCTGGAGATTTTCTGTATTGGAGTGACTTTTTGTGATACTGGTTTTTGTGACAGTTTACTGATTTCATTGGCTTCATTGCAAGAGGAATTTATACTCTCTTTACCTTGAGAAGGTGTGTCGGAGACTAGACTTTGGGTTTCTTCAAAACCTTCATCGTTCAACTCGTGATTCGATACTTTGATGATGGTGCTGCCATTAGCTGTTGTTGTTGTTGTGGCCAGATTTGGTGATCTTTGACTGAGTATTTCTCGTGGAGGACTCCAGAGTCGTTCGGGTACATCTGTGGGTGATTTGAGATTACGCAATGCCTCCTGAACATCTTCCTGATTAATGGAACTAATATGGCGCCCAACCTTTTCCAATTTAGTTATGGTTCTGGCCGAAACACGTTTCGGTTTTTCCGGTTTTGTGATCTCATCGACCTTGGGCGGTACTGGAGCCGTTACGGGGGCCACTTCCTGGGGAGTTTCTTCCGTTTTGTTTATTTGGTTTAGTGAATTCTCTTCACTCGAATCTTTGGCTGAGGTCAACTCTTCATTTCCACTGCTGTAGTCAGTGGGTCGCTTGTAGCGTCGTGTGCGTCTGGCTATGGAGTAACGATCGAAATGGCCGGGCGTCTCTGAAGATTCCATGTCATTACCAGCAGGATAACTCTCCGCATTTGTTTCGACCTGAGTTTTTGTTGGTTCCGGGCGATTGACCGTCACCAATGTGGATGTGGGACTAGATATGATTCTCCTGGACGCGGGTGGTGTTTCAATATTATCCGCATCGATTTCTTTGCGTTTCGAGATGCTGTGCATATCATTGCATTTCAGTGAGGTATTATCCGAATGGAATCTATTCGTTTGGAATGATGGCGATGGTGATTTGGATTTATGTCGTTCGACATAATTAACTTTGGTACTACTAGCTGCTGTGTCATTTGTTACAGTCGTCGAATTTTGTGATACGGTTGCAGGTTGCTGATGAGGATGATGCGGCGGCGACGTTCTTTCGACAGATTTACGATCCGCCGGTGTCGTCGAGGTCGGTGAACGTATGTAGATTTGTAACCGCTCATGTGCATCTTTCTCGGCCATTTGTTGAGCAATCAAAGATTTACGGCGATCCTCTTCGGCAATGGGATCCAACTGCATTGGATTATTTTCCACTGAACGTTGCCTGCGATAGACAACCTCTTCGGTATTGGAATAGGGTGCAGAGTATTTGTTGTGGATGTATGATTTTGTTGTGGAACTTAAATCTGATTCCGATATGCTTGGCTTTTCCAATTGTTTTTTAGAATTTTCTCGGGCATCATTGACATCTGTGGGGGAAGTAGGAAACAAATTATGTAAGAAAGATTTAAGTAAGCAAATTTTTGATGATGGAACCCAAACTTACTGGCAATGGCTTCTATGGTACCAACAACATCCGTTTCCAATGTCTTCGATGGCTTCCAGTCCGGATAGACACGTTTGTAGCCATCACGATTTTTGTTATTATTAGTAACATTATTGGTTAGTGTTTGTTGGTTAGATGTTTTAGTACAAGAGTTCGGTGTAGTTGGTACAAATTTCTCTTCGGGTAAGGTATCCAATTTTCGTTCGCTTTCTGTTAATTAGAAGACAGATTATTTGTATGGAACATTAGCTGAAATCAAGTATGCTTTTAAACTTACCTGACTCGTTTTCAAGCGAACGCCTATTAATGTTAACCAAACGTCGCTTACGTTTGTATTCCTCGTCTTGTTTTTCATCGTTTTCGTTCGATTGTAACCAATTTTCGATTTTTTGACGCCATTCACGAGATATTCTGGAGAGACAAAGAGAGAGAGAGAGAGAGATCGAATTGAGTCAGTATTGAGTCTCAGATCTTTTTGAGTAACAGGTGAACATATAAACGCCCAGGCGACATCGGGGGACTGTGGATGTCTAGGGTTGAAATAGAATTGGGTTTTCGAAAATTTGCACAAAAGGGCAGGTACAAAAATGTACGTAGTACTGCTGTATGATATTTGGAGAACATGTAATATTAAACTTCCAAAATTTGGAAAGTTGTCCTCTCTAAAGATGAGAGAGAGAGAGAGAGAGAGAGAGAGAAGTTGAATAGCACTTCAAGCAAGAGATTATTATATTATTGGTTCTTATTGGCTTTTCAAGGTGTTTGGTTTTGTTTCTATGGGAAGGGGAAGAGTAAAATCTGCCCAATTTCGAATGAATTTTACTTCCATTTGAAAACGAGAAAAGAAGCAAGTCTTCTCTTATCCGAGTGACATAGAATAATAATTTTTGATCGATTTTAAGTCCTCCCGCTAAAAGTCAAACAAGTTTGACTCTCCACTCGGATTCGAGCAAACTTTTCAGAGGTAAAACTACTTCCCTCATATCGATACTAATTTAATTCGAAACTAGCAAGTGCTCGCCAGCGAAAAGTCGAACTTAATATTTTAGCTTCGTTCCAAAAAGTTGTGTTAGGATGCTTTATACCCTCCACCATACATATTATGGAGGGTATATTAAGTTCGTCATTCCGTTTCTATCTCGTCGAAATAATAGTTTTAGACTTAACAAAGTATACAATTCTTGATCAGCGTGAATTCCACTGAAGAGTTCCACTATATTATATATCCCCCATATAACGGTACCTCGTTATTTTAATGATTTTAGCCAAGTTTTTCAATGAAATTGTCTCAAAATTCACACCAGGAGTTCCTCCTGAGTACTTTACCTCCTAGAAGAGAATTGTCTATACAGATCCACGATATCGTATATCCACATATAACTGTACCTCCCGATATTCGGTATTTTGATGATTGTAGCCAAAATTTTCAAAGGCATTGTCTGAAAATCCGCACAGAAGGAACTCCCTTCTGAGTACCTCCTGGAAGAGAATTGTCTGTAGAAGTAAACGATATTACATTTCTCCCATAAAACGGTACCTCCCGATATTCGGTATTTTTATAATAATAACAACATTATTCACCGGAATTGTTTCAAATTTGATGATATTAGCGACATTATTATTTAACTGAATTGTTTCGAATTTCGTATTTGAAGTTCAGAATCGGTACTACAGCCTATGACAAAAATTACTTATGCATCTCCACGTCTTCGTATAGGTTATCTTTTAAGTGGTATTTTCCGACGAATTTTTGTTTTTGAAAATTTTCAAAATCCTTCAAATTAGCGGAGGGTATTAAAAGCTAGGCCCGGCCGAACATAGCTGTTTTTTTACTTGTTAGTACTCAAAATGTACAATTTGATCAGATTAAAATTTTTTAAATCAAAATTTCATACATCCTACTAGAATTTCGAGAGGTTCCTTTCGGAAATAATAGTTGGGATATGTTCACCGTTTACACCAGAATAGGACTCACTTCCAAACCACCACAAAATCTCAAACACATATACCATCTGTAATCTAATTATTTTTAAAATATATCTCTATCCCTTCGCCCAAAACCAAATATAGTACCATTCAGTACTTTTCGTACACATTTTCAAACCTAATACCAAATTTCAAACACTACCTGTCCACCCAACACCATCGAATATGGTACTATTCAGTACTTTTCAATCACTATTTATTTACCTAATACCAAATTGTACCAAATATAGGACCACTTAGCACTTTTCATGCACTTGTAGTACACATTTCCAAAACAAAATTTAATTCTCATTCTCTCCTATACACTAACAGTGACCCTGATAACAAATATAATATTCCAAGAAATGTAAGGAACATTTATTACCTTTCGTACGCTTGTTGAACGAATTTAGTAACATTTGGAACCTTTCATGTACTTGTAGTACATAACTCCAATCCCACCTGAGACCCATTTCCAAGAATTGACTTCACACCAAATTTCAAGATTTTATCACTATCCGTTCACATAATTCCAAATGGTACCAAAATTTGTGCATTTTAGTACTTTTGGTACACGTAATCGAAAACCCCTTTAGTTTAGCTATCCCACACAACATGAAAGACAGATTACAGATTTTCAGCTCCATTCCTTCCCCAAATAACAAGGCTAGCACTATTTAGTACTTTTCGTACTTTATAGTACGTATTTCAAAATCCCCCGCCATATATCAAAAAAAAAAAACCTAGTCTTATCTCGCACCTACCAAATTGACCCAAACGCAAAAGTTCAAGATTGGAAGTTGATCAAGATTTTTTTAAATTCATCCTGCACTCACCTTGGTTTTGTGTCATCATTGTTCGTTTGAACAATTTCTCCATTGCTGGGTGACAGAGGAGAACATTTCTCTGCCACATTGATGGGTAGGGGAGAAGCGGCACGCTCTCTGTCTGCTCCAAAATCAATATTCAATAAATCGGGACGTTTACGACTAGAGCTTCCTGAACGAGCACGACGGGCCCATGAGCGATCTGGAAATATATTAATTACTAGGTTTTTCTTAACAACTCGGTTTTTAGTGATTCTCACCTAAACTTCCGTAGGCTGCCTTTCTCTCACGGCTATTGCGTTCATGTCCTGAGGTACGCAAAAATTCCATTAAATCGTCTTCCTCGTTTAGGACTCGACTGCGACGTCTTCTCATACTGCCATTGGGTGTTATGTCCGGTGATTGGCCATCACAATGGCCATTTGTAGCCTCTGAGCGTATAAAGCTATTGTTGACTTCCGCATTACTGCCATTGTTAAATGAGCCATAACGTTTGCGGGACAACGCTGGACTGGCTCTGGGATCAAAGGAAGAATCCAATGAAAATTGGCTATCGAAATCTGAGCTTGGGGTTCCATTAAGGGTTGCTATGGAAAGAATAAATTGGTTTAATATTTAAAATAACCAAATTGCTAAACCCTTACCATATTTGGCTCTCCTGGCCATTTGTTCTTCTCTCTGCTTCTGCCTTAAGCTAGCCTGCTCCTCCAACTGCTGGCGTCGTTCATTCTCTTTGACAGCTTGCTTGAATTTATCACAGAAGGTTTGCAATATTTTAAAGCATTCTTCCAGCCGGAAGGTGGCCGGATCTTCACAAAAGAAATCGGCCAATTTTAGGCGCATACTATCCACAGCATCCATGCCGGCCTTAAGGACTGTCATTTCTCCTTCGGCACTTTGCAAAAAGTCCATCATTTGATCTTTAATATCTTCATCGGTATTGGGCATTTCAATTTGTCTTTTGATTTTTTGTAATTGCGAATCAAGGTTCTTTATGTCAATGCCAATTTGTTCTAAATTAGTTCTAAAGGGGGAGAAGAGGTAACAAATTAAAAATATATAATTAACTAAAATCACATTTAACTTACTTGGAAGCACTTTCTAGATTACTCAATTCATTGGTGAAATTCAACAGTGACGCGTCGCGTTTCTCCGCCTGTATGGCCACAAAATGTATTAGATTCATGCCGGGCTTATTCGCCCTAATATCGGTTAGTTTGGTCAGTGAGGAAAGCTTAACGCCCACAGCATTTCCGGCATAACCACCAGAATTTAAGAAATTACCAGCTACCACAACTAAATACAGGACTTCTTGCAGAGATCGACAATTCATGAGGTCTAAAAGAAGAAATTATAGAGTAAATGGAAAATGTGGTGAGATATAGATGGTTCAGCATTACTCACCTTCGGCCGCTTCAAGCATGGTATTTATACAGGGGTCTAGATATGTAACATTGGCGGCGAATTCCTCCTTCAGCAACATACTTTCAATGCGTAGTTTGTAGCTGGAATGAACAATAAGAAAATGAAATATTATTTATTAAAAAAAAATATTTGGAAAGGAAGTTAGTTTTTTATTAAGTTGTAGGATCATAGAAACCCGTTAAGCCCATCCAGATTCATGTTTTGGCTTGGCGTCCTACTTTACCTTATTTGGAATTTTGGTTAATGATTTGATACAATTCGTATATCAAGAGATACCTTTATGTTGTCACTATTCAAAAGATGGGTCAATATGAACAATTTTTTGCAAGGGGAATGTATAAAGTGAAGTATACCAAAAGGTGGACATATAATACCCTAATTAATGACAATAAATTTGGAATTGAAAACTCCATGACGATAGGATCTTCAAACACTCCAAAACTGTGTTATGAAAATGTGATATCCAGAACCTCGACTCATCCTCTGTTTTTATACCCTCCACCATTGTATGGAAGGTATACTAAGTTCGTCACTCCGGTTGAAATCCATCACGAATAACTTTTTTTCTAGGAAATTCTCACCAAAATGCCTTTGTACTCTTGTAAACAATAATATTTTAACTGGAATAATTTTAACAGCTGTCGGATGAGTAGCTTGGAAATGACAGCAGTCTGAAGTTGATTGTAGGTTTTTCATCTCACCCTGTATTTCTCTCTACAAAGGGTCTGTTGTCTATATGAAAATTTTCTGTCCACTTCTTCTGATACCTTCTCTACAAAAGGTTAACAACGATCCCATTTAAAGGTGGTTTTGAACGATATATTGAAAATGGACCAAAAAGAGCCCTTTGGTGACTTGCTTGAGGGATAAAGGTTTTGATCAAAATAATCCTTAAATTTCACCTCGAATATATCTAAAATGCAAGAATTCTCAATCTGTAATTTTCAAAAATGAGGAAAAGGGTGGGGGTGGCTGTGGCTGTGGACTTGCTCCCCTATTTGTGTTACTATGTGATGTAACCTTTTTAAAACATCGATTCACGTGTCTCTGCAGAATAAAAAAAAATAATTTTGCCACACAATCCAGTCATAATAAATACTAAATATCGACTAACTTTCAACATTGACCTAACAGACAGTTCAGCAGTCTGAACCTGTGGCCTACACAGTGATTTCAAAATTAAGAAAAAAGGTTTGCTTTGAACACTTTATCTTTTTAATATTTTAGAATCATCTAAGCTTCTATTTTGACCCTAGCCCTGAGCGCATCTTCTATGCTATTACTCAGGTCAACGAGATATGGTGATCAGTAATCCCTACCATGTAGGTTCGAGGTTCCATTTGTTGTGGTTTTACAATTTTTTTATCTAATCAATCTTGTAACATCCTCTTTAAAGAGCGATGTATGGTATTAAAAATAAAATTAAAATAATCTCCACACTTAATACGGTGGAGGGTAAAAAAATGATGTTAAAGTCCAAAGCTCCAACCTAACTTATTAATGTATGGCTCTGTACAGAAGGCATTGGTCGAATAACTGCATCGATCAAATTCCAACATCAGATAATATCCAATTTCGTTCCCTCATTCATTTACTTACCTTGGAACTTCCATAAGCAGCAGCAGGAACTTTTCAGCTCTGCCTAGCCGTTGGCGATCGCCGTTGAATGACTTCAGCAAATCAATTTCATCGACTTCGGGTAGGATTTTCAAAAGACCACGAAGTTTTTCGGCTCCAATCACTTCGTGATTACCGTCCTGTATTAGCTGTACAATATCTTCATTGGAATTATATCTGCAAAGTAAATAAATACAATTTTAAATTGAGTTCTAATCAATATTTATTCATAAATGAAGAAAGGCACTCACCCCTTGAACTGCTTCAGGAATATATTCACATTCAGCGTCCGCTTGCCATCGAGTAAATTAATTTCGGTACTTTCCTTCTTCGACTTACGATCGAGGGTATCGTAACCGCTACTACTGGCCCCAGCCGAACCATCGGCCCTTCCCAATTTCGGTGAACCCTGGGCACTGGTTGATTGCAGGCAAAACAGTCCTTCCATTTCATTCCAATCAATATCCTCCATTGTGGTATCCTGGTGATTGTGAGCCACAATGGTCCATAGATTCTGTTTACCTATCACTTTGTGTGGTGGAATTTTGCCCCAGTTCAGAGTTTTCATTTTCGCCTTTGGCGCTGGGGTGTCCTGTTGCGGCAGCAACACATCATTGAGACGTGGCTCGGGGGTTAGTGAACGGGCAGGCATAGTCGTTTTAGCAGATAGTAGATTTCCAACTGGCGGTGGAGCTGGTGGTGCTCCGGGTATAGGTGGCGGCGCTGGCGGACCATTGCACATTGTCATTGGGGGTGGTGGTGGCGGTGGAGCTCCTCCTGCTACACTACCGCCCACCTTACCACACCCAGGTGGCGGTGGGGGCGGTGCCGGAGCGGGTGGTGGTGGCGGAGGTGGAGCTATGGTCGTAGCATTCGGTTTACGTGTCGGACTCACAGCGTCACTGCGGCAATTGGGACAGGTGAATTTCTGTGCAGTCGTGGTGCGCAACAGACGCACCGAATCTTCATGGCTTTCCAGTAGAGTGGCTCGATGTACTAGTTTTTCGGTTGTGTCCCAGACAACATCACTAACGTGTTCTTTCGGATCGATTCGCAACAAATGTTGCAGTATACTAAGGAATGGCACTTCCTGTGGTGTATCGGCCACCTATAAATGGAAAGTTGAAAGTCATTGAGCGGTGGTTCTTTCCTTAGCTTGTAGCAAAAAAAGAAAAACAACAACAACAACAACTATATTTTGTTTATATTGTTGCAGCGCATGAAATGTTGGTGAAAATAGAAAAAACCAGTTTTTTTTTGCTTTAAAAGCTTTACATGTACAACAACATTTGCTTTTATTCTAATAAAGTAAATTTCAAAGCAGATAATGTCCACTGGCCAGTCATGCATGAAAATATTGTACGTCATAAATTATATATGGTTGTGAGGAAAGAAAAAGTTTTTTTTTCGTGTTTGCTACAGTGGGTGACAAAAGTAGGTACATAGGGAGGGGAAAAATTCTTTGGACATAGAACAATGATTTTGCCAAAGTTCAATGTCATTTTCTGTAGTCGGTTGAGCTCTGTATAAATCTGAGCTGCCAACAGGAATTTTAAACAAGTAAAAAAGTAGTAAGTTCGGCCGGGCCCAACTTTGGACAATTTGGAACAAATTTGGAAATTATAAAAAAAAAAAAAATAAATAAATTAATAAATAAAGAATAATAATAAATAAACAACATCCGCTAAAAATTCTGTTAAAATCTTCAAAACGCCAAATGTAGCCGTTATATTGAGGTCTAAACGAAGACGTGGACCTGCATTGGCAACTTTTGTCATAATCCATTCAAATACGAAACTTGTATATGGAGCCTATACCAAGGCCTGGACCTGCATATGTAATTTTCTGTCATAGACTGTAATTTCCATTGCGAACTCTAAATACGAAATTTGAAACAACTCTGGTGTATAATTTCGCTAAAAAAATCAAAATACCGAACACAGGGATATACCGTTATATGGAGGCTATACGAAGGCGTGGGTACGCAATTTTATGTCATAGGCTATAGTGTACATTACGAATTCTAGGTACGAAATTTGAAACAACTCCGGTGAAAAATGTCCCTAAAATCGTCAAGATATTGTAAATCGAGTGGTACCCTTGTATGTGGGCTAAACAATATCGTGGACCTACATAGACATTTCTCTTACAGGGATTAAAGTACTTGAAAAGAACTCCTTGTTTGGATTTTTAGACTATTTCATTGGAAAATGTATCTAAAATCATCAAAATACCGAATATCAGGGGGTACGGTTAAATGGGGGGCTATACGATATCGTGGATCTTTATACCCCATCTTCGAACTTAACCTGCCAGCACACAAAAGACTGATCTGTGAAAAATTTTTGCTTTCGATCTTTATTCGTTTTGACTCTAGCATGATTTTAACAGACGGACAGGGCTAAATTGTCTTATATGTACTTTGTTATATCTAACAAGATTATTTCGATGGGTTACAAACGGAATGACGAACTTAATATACCCTCTATGTATGGCATGTCTAGTAACAAGTAAAAAAGATGTGGAGTTCAATCGGACAGAATTTATATACCATGGAAAATTTTTTTTTAAGTACATTCACTCAATGTCAAATTTAGTAATTTTAAGTACATTTCGAATAATTTTTGTACACATTTCCAGAACTAACTCTATTTCTCAGTACCAGATGTCAACCGAGACCTCAGTATCAAATTTCTGGATTTCAGTTATTTAAATTACACATTGCTAAATTTGCTACAATTAAGTACAATTATACCAAAACCAGCTCTCTCAACCACAGACACTAATAGTGATATCTATATCCAATTTGAGAATTTCAGCTCAATTTCTGGATTTCAGTCATTTAAATTGCCTATTGCTAAATTTACTACCATTTACTACAATTATAGTACGCATATCTAAAACCAGCTCCTTATCTCAACCACAGACACTAAAAGCAACATCCATATCAAATTTCAGAATTTCAGCTCAATTCACCTAATACCAAATTTCGTAATTTTTGTATAATTATCCAAAACTACATCTATAACTCAATTCCAGATACCAACAGAACCGTAAGTATCAAATTTGAGAATTCCAGTTCTATCCCTTTACCCAGTTTATTATCATATAGTATATTTCGTACAATTATAGTACATATTTCCAAAACCACACCAACAGTGACAACTATATCAAATTTCAGGATTTGAACTCTATTCCTTCACCCAATAGGTAACTTTAATAACATTTAGTAAATTTCGTACAATTGTAGTTCCATTTTTAAAACCACCTCAATATCTCAATACCAGATACCAACATAACTCTCAATATCAAATTTGAGGATTATTCCTTACCCAATACCAAATTTAGTTCAATTTTGTACATTTCGAAAAACCACAACATCTCAAACACAGATACCACCAGTAATTTCAGAAGCAAATCACTACAAAGCAAGTTTAGTACCAATTACTACTTTTCGTATTATTGTAGTACACATTTTCGAAACCACCTCCATTTGTCCAGGCTACAGCGACCATAATACCAAATTTTTGATTTCAAGCACTATCTGCTTAACAAATACCAAATTGTACCAAATATGGTACAAATTATATTTATAAAAAACTTTCAACTAACAGGGACCCCAATACAAAATTTTAAAATTTTGTCTTAATCCTTTCACCCTCAACCAAACGGTTCCAAATGTAGTACCATATCGTACAATTCGCACTCTTAGTACACATTTCCAAAACCATTTTCATATATCAAACTTACTTTCCTATATTTCAAGTTTTTAGCTCGATACGATCACATAATACCAATAGTACCTTTTTTTAGAAGTCTAGTAACATTTTGGAACTTTTCGTGACCTTAAAGTTCGAATTTCCAAAAACTCTTTGAAACATCTATCTTGCACTCTATCATGGATTTTCATTCCGAATTTCAGAATTCTAGCTCATTCAGTTTGTCCAATACAAAGTATTACATTTTTAGTACCTTTCGTAGTCTTTTAGTCTGAACCATTTCAGAAGTTTAGTACCATTATAGAACTTTTCGTAACCTTAAAGTTTCTTAAGAAAGATTCTCATTCCGAATTTCGGAATTCTAGCTCATTCAGTTTGTCCAATACAAAGTATTAAATTTTTAGTACATTTTAGTACCTTTCGTAGTCTTTTAGTTCGAACCATTTCAGAGGTTTAGTAACATTATAGAACTTCTCGTAACCTTAAAGTTCTTATTTCCAAAAGCCCTTTGGTATATCTATCACTCTGCACTCCATAATTGACTCTCATTCCGAAGTTCTAGCTTATTCCGTTTGTCCGATACAAGGTATTAAATTTTTAGTACATGTTAGTACCTTTCATACCCTTTCAGCACGAATTTCCAAAAGCTTAGGCTTATCACACGCCTACACACCATTAATGACCCTCATGCGAAATTCCAAGATTCTAGCTTTAGCCGTTTCGCCTGGGCGTTGACGAATTAGTCCGTCACTGATTTTTTTTACCCTGCACCATAACCTCTACCACGAAATATCAATTTTAGACCCCACAAAGTGTATATATTCTTGATCAACATGAAATTCTATAGATTTAGCGATGTCCTTCCATCTTCTGAAGGAAATTAAGTATGTTGATCCAATTCTACTCAGACGTATTTATGTCAGCAGGAATTTTGAAGTGGTTCAAGTAATTCAACGATTCGGTAAAGCCCCCATATGACTGTACCGCAAGATTTAAGGTATTTTTGTTGTCTTAGACACACAATTTTAATTCCAATTATTGACAGTTTGTATTCCCAGTATGCAGGCAACATCTTTGCATAGATCTGTATATATATGTCCAAGTTTTGATATAGTCCCCATATGACTGTACCTCCAGATATTCGGTATTTTAAGGATTTTAGATAAACTTTTCAATGGAATTATGTCAAACTTGGTATTTGGAGTTCGTGATAGGCGCCGCCTACTCTGGCATATAATCGACTATAGAGGTCCACGTTTTCGTACGGCCCCCATAAAACTGTACCTCCAGATATTCGGTATATTGATCATTTTTGCCACACTTTTCATTATATCGCACATTGTATTTGAATACTACCTCCTATGGCAGAAAATTGCCTATATATGTTCAGGCTCTTTGTTTAGCTCCCACATAGCTGTACCACCCTTTATGCAGTATTTTGAGGATGTTTCCCAAACTTTTCTCCAGAATTATTTCAAATTCGGAATTTGGAGTTCGCAGTCCGTATGCCAAATCTACAGAGAATGTATTTTCATTTCCAATTGTTACTTCTACTACAAGTTCATACAAGAGTGTTATGACCAATATTCCTATTAGTTTCATATTATTGTTTCAATTGTGTACAATTATTCTCTTTTGCACCTCACTTTTAACCAACACTGTACCATTTTTTTCTCATTTCTAATGGATAGTATACACATTTTGTTCATATATATGTAACAGATATGGAGACTAATAGACATAAGTGTGAACTAAGCCTGTTGGTCGCCAGTAACAGCAAATATGATAACAACAACAAAACGTTGTTGTTGTTATTTTTTGTGTTAATTTTGTTACAAACAACCTTGACAAATTATGTACAAATATGGTAAATAAATTGCAAAACTACTTTAATTGTTGTTTAGCTATACGAGTATATATTTGTGTGTGTATGTGTGTCTCTACTATTAATCAACAAATGGACAATCAACAGCAAAAACGCTTGATTCTTGAGTATTTCTAACGAATAAACCATGCAAACGCGCCACGTTCGAAAGTTTCAAGTACCCAGAAAACAGTGACACTTGTTGCATTAATTCGCAATCAATTCAAATGAGTTTTTTTCTTGGGATCCGGCGGGAGGCGGGAGTTGGAAGGGAGGAGCCAGACTGTTTGGCACTAAAGTCTTTGTTTTACATACCTGTCGCAGTATTGCATAGAAGACGTCAAGATGTGAGTTTAGATTGATGCCATTTGGGCCTTGTAGGCTTTGGGCTTCGTCGCATTCTCTCTGCTCGTCGAATACGTCCAATTGTACAATAATATCTCCTACACTTTGTGCAACTTTTCTGTAATGGAAATGAGAAGAAAAAAAAAATTAAATGAAATAAAATATATTCATTGATATAGAATTAATGCAATATTATTTGAGAGCTACAAAATACAAGGTAAGTGAGTGTATATTGATTTAAGACAAGAGATAGCAAAGAGAAGACAGATTTATTGGTTTATTTTAATTTCGTTCAGTACGCTGTGCAATTAAAAATTCTAGGCTCAACAGCAACGTCTAGGTAATGGTTTGATTACAAAGAAATTTAATAAATAGACTGAAGTCTAGTCCATCTATGGTTTAAACAGTAATACCTAGATATTCGAAGAGTGTTACATCTCAAAAATTCGATTTAGGAGAAAACGCATTTTAAAGTTTGAGTGGAAAAACACAACTTACATTTAATAGTGGTATCTCATGAAATATGATGTAGAAGCTATATCTACAAAATGTTTGCACGTTTGATTGTTTGTAAATTATGCAGGGTTGACCATATTCGACGGACCCATGGGTCCATTCCACAGGCAACATTCTTTGCGTCAATTGAATTTTGTACGGGAACAAATGCAAATCAATGCCAATAATCCGTTGTAAAGTGGACCGAGCCATGCCCAACTGCTGAGAACGGCGTTTTTGGGATGTTCTTGGGGACCTCTCAACACTGGCTCGTACGGCAGCGATATTCTCGGCCGATCGCCTTGGTCGACTTTTATATGATCTCTTCGGATTAGAAAAAGCCTTACCAGTCGAAAATTTTTCGTATAAACGCTTAATGGTGTTCTTAGAAGGCGCACTTCTCACATTTTTTAATGTTTTAAAAGCACTTTGAGTTTTCACAATTGACTTCTTCTGTTGAATGTAAATTTCAACTATTTCAGAGCGCTCGCGTGGCGTGTATTGGTTCATGGTAAAAATCTGCTTGGACTGACGCTTCAAACGCGGTATGTCATTAAGCGATGTGACATCTCTGTCAAAAGTTATGGCGTTGCCAGATGGGTCCGTCGAATATGAGCAACCCTGTGTACTCAAAAGCTGCCAAACAGATTTTCCTGAAAAGTGTCATATATACTACACCATCGCCTAAAAGTAACATAGGCCATATACATTTTTAAAATTCCACTTGGAACCGCAGATATAGCGTCAGAATAGTAGGTTCCTCCAGAAGATTTAGTTATTGAATTCACATATCTATTGATCGGTTATAGATACAGTCTCCAGATTTAGAGTGTGCAACGGAAATCGGTACATAAATAAATTTGCCAAATTATATTGAAATCAATTCAGATTTGAATATAGCTCCCATAAATACTTTCGGCCGATCTCATATATTTAATGCACCAAACACTTTATTACAATGAAATTTGCTAAGAATGACGGAATTTCGTACATAAATTCACCAAATTACATAGAAATCGGGTTAGATTTGAATATAGCTCCCATATATTTGCAGCAAAAACGACGTGTATGTTCGATTCCAATGAAATTTGGAATGAGTAATGGAAGTTGGTGAAAAATATATTTGCTGATTTATATTGAAAGCGGTACGTATTTGGATATAGCTCCCATATATGTACATTTAAGCCGATTTCGTTATTTGATGCACCAAACACGATATGTATGTTCGATTCCAATGAAATTCAGAATGAGTGACGGGATTTGATGAGGAAATATATTTGCCAAATTATATTGAAATCGGTAAAGGTTTGGATATAGCTCCATAGCTCTACATTTCAAATATTTAATGTACTAAACACGATATTATGAACGATTTCAATGAAGTTCAGAATAAGTGACGAAATTTGGTATAAAAATAAATTCGCCAAATCTTGTTGTAACCGGTAAAGATTTGGATATAGCTCCCATATATATTTTCGGCCAATTTCATGTATTTGATTCACCGAACACGTTATATTTCTTCAATTTCATTGACATCTGTAAATATATTAGTAAAATTATATTGAAATCGGTACAGATTTGGATATAGTCCCCATATAAATTGCCTGATTTCGTGCAGTTTACGCACCAAACACGCTATGTATGTCAAATTTCAATGGAGTTTGGAATGTGTGACGGAATTGGGCTAACTAGGCAAACAGTAAATAAAAACTACATAACAACATAGTTGAGGCTACGGTTAGGTGTAGCAATTTCAAGTTGATGTGATCAGTATTTCAAAACACAAAGGGATTTTGAATTCTCAGGCCCAAAATTGTTTTTAGGATCCTTTATAAAATCTAAACATATACAAGGAAACGTCAATACGGAAAGCTATATTTCGCAAGATTCAACAAGTAAAATAGCTGTAAGTTCGGTCGGGCCGAACTTTGAATACCCTCCACCATTTGGAACGAATTTGGCAATTTTCAAAAAAATAAAAATTCTGTTAAAATCTTAAAAATACCGAAGGAAGCCGTTATATTAGGTTCTATACGACGACGGTGTCCTGCATAGGCAACTTCAGTCATAAGCTACTACAATATTCAAAGGTGAAACTTAAAAAAAAATGCTGTTTATAATGTGGCTAAAGTCATCAAGATCCCGAATGGGGGTTATACCAAAACGACGTTCTGCTGAGATTATTTTCTGTCATAGGCTGTAGTATCCATTACGAACTTCAAATACCAAATTTGAAACAATTCCTGTGAATAATGTCGCTAAAATCATCAAAGCACCGAATATCGGGAGGTACAGCTATATGGGGGCTATACGAAAACGTGGACCTACATGACCCATTTTCAATACCCAAAGTCCTGCAGACATAATACATATTTGAGTAAAATTTTATCAACCGAGTTCATTTAGTTCGGAAGCTAGAGTGATTTCCACAAATGGACTGACGGACATGGCTAAATCGACATAGCATTTTATGCTGATCAAGTATATATATACTTTGTTCAGTCTAAAATGTATATTTCGAGGTGTTACAAACGGAATGACAAACTTAATATACCCTCCATCCTATGGTGGAGGTTACGAAAAAGAAATCTGAATTGCGATAGAAAGGTTTTGACTAAGAATCTTTAGATTAAAAATAAGTCTTGTCTGTCTACTTTTTGGGATAGGCTCCGATTCAAGTATTGTTACGTTTTTGCATATTTTCCCTCTAATATAGCCGAATTTTGGTATTTTGAGTTCTCAGTATGTCGAAACCCTATATGCGAAATATTATCAATATAGTTTGCCTTTTTGATAACGCCATCAACATAAAATTACGCCCAATTTTTGCTATTCATTAAGTGTTTTGGTCATAATTTCGAATCGATTTTGCTATAACTTGGTATCTTGGATATTCAGGGCATCGAAAACTAAAGCATACATTTTCCTATGTAGGTCCTTGTTTCGGTATATATACCTACTGATTTGAATTATTTAGAGGGTTTTGATAATATTTTCCAATCGACTTGGAGAAGCATTTGAATTCTGGTTTCCTCAATGGAAAAAATTCTTCCTCTATATAGTCAATATGAGTATATATTTCGGAGTAGAACACATACAACGATAAATCTCAGTTTCTAGCTCCCAACCTATTTGTTATATGGTGTAACAAATTCTGAGGGTTCAATTCCAACACCAATTTTCAATTTTATGGTCCTTTATAAATGAATATTTATGCCTTTTGTCAATTTTTTCTTTGAAAATGTAAATAAGAGGCTAAATTGGTTAGCAAGTTAAGCCCATTTTGGGACACCATTAGTCAATATTAAAAACAAGTTAAAAAGTATGAGTCGCTTTTGCCGACAGATGTATACCCTCAGCCAATGTTCGATTATTTAAATATATTTTGACTTCTCTTATGATTATTCAAATTGTTGACCCTCTATGGAGTAGATTCCGGAAAAATGGGTCAATATTGTCAGTTTCGTATTGGACCTAAAAGTATTCCATTTTCATACTTCATCGAATACAGATAAAAAAAATTGGTATGGACAAAATTAATAGAAAATCGAACACTTATATCCAATTTTATCCGAAAAAATAAATTCCATATCTATTCCAGGTTTCTGGTTCAGAGAAATATTTAGATATAGCAAGTTGCAAAGAATCGATGTCGGACCAAGTTCTAGGGTTGCTCATAATTTCGTCCACGCCGATACTCGCTTCAAGAGTTATACGGATATGATTTGATAGACTCCAAATGCTCTGAATTCTATTTAGTCCAAAAAGAGACATGAGGTCTTAATCCTTTATTTCGGTTCGGCACACTTTGGCCGTATCAAATATTATATATCACCCCTTTCAATGGCGCAGAGGGCACAGAAATCCTTCACTGAACACATATATATGGCGACAACTGATCCATATTAAAGTTACAAATTCTTCCTCTTCAATGCACTTGAACTTTCATAACCCTATCCTTTATTATGGGACCGAACTGTCCAGCGATAACAAAGAAAACGGAAAGAAGAAAAAACAAAGACGAGGGTGTCATTTATAAACAAAATAAATTGTTTTTGTTTTTGTCGGCAGCGAATTTGATTACAGCTAAAACTTTATTATAGTCATTTGTCTAGCCGAGTCATAAAACTTAGGAACCGAAAAAAAATAATAATGAAGAAGAGTTAAAAAGCAAACATTACAATACATACACACAACACCATAACACATGACCGAAAGACAGCAAAAACTTACTTGAGATTTGCCAATAAACTGAAATCTCCACTAAAATCGTATTTGCTCAAGGAACAACAAAACGCGGCACAGCCGAGACGCTGCAGCGTTGATGGCTCCACGGCACAGCCTTTGGTTGTAATGGTGTTGTCCACAAGGACGGAAGTAGCAGCCTTTTTGTTATTTTGAAAACGGATCCTATTGTCTCGTGCCGTATTACTGCTGTTGATAGGGTCCTTGGCAATCAGTTTTGAGCTTGACGCCAATCACAACAACAACAATTGCGAGTATCTCACAAAATAAATATTATACACTATCAGACTTTGCACTAACACACTCGAGCAGATTTGCACGCTACTTTATACACACACGCACACACACATACACGTAATATGTAGTAGTATTATCAAA